GAATGCTTCTAGTTCAAGTAGGAATTCAAATATTACTCATTTTACCATTATGTGTTGTTGGTCTTCTTTTATCATTTCCTAATATTTATCAACCAACAGCAAGTTTTTACTCGATTTTTTATATTTGTCGAGTTATATTTCATATCTCTTATGCAACACCATTTTTCTTATACGTTCTTTCGGCTCGTACATTTAGAAAAGGATTAATTGAATTAATTTTTAAATTATTATCAGCAAATCATCACAATCGTATTCATACAATGAGACGTACTGGTGTACCAACAGACGTACAAATAAATACATATCTTAATGAGACTCATTTATAAGAAGAATTTCAGCGATTACATTATCTGAAGATTTTGTAATGAAATATAAATTTCGCAAAACTGACTTCGGCAATAAATGATTAATCTCTTGGTAAGCAAATTAACGGATTCGAATATGAATTTCAACAATTCTGAGTTCAAAAAGTGGTATCCTTGAATTTTTGATAACATGATATTATATATTGTCGAAAGCCAATTGTGACATTCATATTATCCTTGTTGTTATTTATATTTAAATTTTCAGATGTATATCGCTTATCTATTGTAATCGTAATTGTATGATTCAGAGATGGACAAAATCGCACCGCGCCTCCCCGTTCTTCCCCGCGCCGTTGCTCACGCCTACGCTACACTAGTCTGAGCTTCGATGAGCGCATGCTTAGAGCATCCTGGTATTCGGTGGAGTTTGAGAAACTGATTGGTAGAGCAAAGAGAAAGAGAGATGTGCGTAGCGCCTAGGCGCGAGCAGTGGCGCGGAAAAGCGCGGTGAGGCGCGGTGCGATTTTGTCCATCTCTGGTACATAATGCAACATTTCAGAATATTTTCTCTTTTTCAACGATATTATTTTAAAAATACATTCAACTAATACACACAGTACATATATGAAAGCAGACAAAAAATGTCTTTCGTTTTTCTTTAAAAATCCTAATTCATAGCCGCAACTGATTTCCATGCAGGTCGATTAGAAATTTTATTCCACCATTGTTTGACATGTGGACGAGAATCGAAAAGTTCATTTTCACCAGCTTTAATAAGCATTGCACCATATGGTAAATGAAATAAATCAGCGAGTGTAAATGTCTAATAAATAAACAATTATTTTATTATATTAACTAATATTTCTGCTACCTCTCCGCCAATATATGATTGTTTTGTTAAAATTTTTTCATAAACATCTAAATTTTCAGCTAATTCACTTCGAAGTTGTGCTACTTTGTTCATATCTGGTTCGCCACCACGCATTCTATTCAATCGAAAGAAACAAAAAAATATATGTGTAAAAAAAGAAAAGATTTGTTTACTTTTTAAAGATTTTTTCACTGACAATTTGACCAGCTAATGAATCAAAATTTGATGTTTCAATTGCTACACCTTGTTCAAATAAACCTAAAGCTTTACTATCTTTTGGAATTAATTCAGTACCACGTCCTTTATATTTTGTTTCCAAATAACGACATATAGCTCGTGATTCTATTAAAAAAAAACGAAACATATTTCGATGAAATTTACATAAATTCAAGTGATATGAAACATTTTCTTTTTTTCAACGAACCATAAATTTTGAAACCATCTGCATCGATCAATGTAGGAATAGTACCGAATGGCTGTTTTTGTAGATATTCAGGAGTCTATTTAAAAAAAAACAAAAATAGACAATTTCAAATATGACTTATAGACTTCTTACCAAATGTTCACCATTCATCAAATTGATTACTTTCAATTCATAATCGAGACTTTTTTCTATAAGTGTAGCTAATACACGTTGAGTAGCTGTTGATAATGTCATACCATAGACGACAATTACACCTTTCGATGCCATTTTTTTTTGTTGTCCTAATTCGATTACTAGAATTATTTAAAATATTAAGAAATCTAATTCACTTTTTTCTTCAGTAATTACTTATAGATATTTTTTACGGTTGTTTGAATACTACCTAAACAGCCAATCGATTTATTGATTAGAAGTCAAAACCTATAATCAATGAATTCACATATATTTATATGTATGTAAGCGCATATGCATGTTCATGTAACTATGTATTATTCTGCTTTGTCATCGTATAATATTTGCATTGTAAAAGAAATCTAAAGGTTGACGACAGTTTACTTAGAAGTCGAAAAAAAAATGCATCGTCATTATTGTTTTAATACCAAGAGAAAAGAAATAGTATAAGGCAAAAATTATCTTATTAAAAAAATTGAACAAATATGACAAAGCATTTTCCATCGTTTTTAAGACTTAAAAATTAAAATCTTTGTCATATTAGTAATAAAGTCAGTAGTGAACTTTAATTAGTAATGATTAATTTTCATCATACAAAATAAATAAGTATTCGCTTGATTTCGATAATATTCATGAAATTATCAGTAGAGCAAATAGTTTGTAATTGATTCTTGCACAATATTTTAACTACATTGTCTTTAGAGTAAGCATAATTTTTCGACCTAGCTTTTTGTGAGAGAAGAAAACAACTAGAAGATTTAGGAATTAATAAACAATGTGCAACTGTTTATGTAACAGAGTGATGATCTTCTATCTTATAGGTGAAATACAATTAAAAACTGACTTTTCCAATCTTGATTATGTTCTTTAGAAACCATATCGATGACAACTACTCGTATCAATGAATTATTTAGTTTTCATTTACATTCTTATGAAAGTTTTCTTTTTGCCCTGTCATAACATTCCATCTTGGTTCTTTTCTCCTATTTCTATTGCTTATTGTGATTGTGAGAATTGAACAGCAATGATTTGAATTGAGTGGGTATGAGTGTGTCTGTCAGTAACTAAGAAAAGAAGCCATCTAAATCACATCTACAATCTCGCTTTTTTCGATATGATTTATTAAAGAAAAGGTCGTTTGAACAATGAGCCAACAACAAATTCTCATTGGCGAAGTATACTGTGCATATTTGGTGTGATGCAAGATCATTTAAGTAAAAAACATCAATCCACTTCCGTTGAAAATATTCGTATTATGTACGCGTAGAGGTGTAAGCCGAAGAGTCAAACAGCGGCTTTAATGATCAAATATTTTTCCATAGCGGCGGCGCCTACTAAACTTTGTTTTTCTACATCGGCGGCTTTAATTACTATTATTAAAGTTTTCGTTTGTGACGGCGGCTCCGAAGAAATTCTTAAAATTATCTACGATTCCGTGGCGACGACGGTGGCTCAGTTGTACAGGTTACACCTCTATGTACGCGAACTTATGTGTATAAAGAAAAAAACGGATACTTCTGAGATTCAAATCATGAGTTCAAACTATAGATCCTTCGTAAAAGAAATATTCCTTACCATTGGTATTATTGTCGTATACAAAAACAAAATTATGTTAAATATAATAGTCTTTCATTCGACTATTTTTATTTTTTTGTAAACAATTGTTTGTTTTATGCATGGTTATTTAGTATGATCGAAATATACAAATACTCTTAAAATTCAAAATATTAATAATACTGTTAATTACAATAAATTTTCATAATAATATGATTATATTCTTTTCTTTTTTTAAGGAATTTAATTTTAATGTTATATATTTCTAAGACTAAAAAGTAAAAAAATTGTTCAATATAGGCCCAAAAAAAAAAAGCAACGTAAACTTAATATCCCATCTATCTACTAGGATCATCAACAAAAATGAGCGATGCATTAGCATTATCATGTTTAGCTTTGTATGTATCAAATAGATGTGTTAATGCATTTAAATATTTCATATGATATTCATTAATAATTTCAGGTGTTATACGTTCTACAGATAATTTTGGTATTTCAATTGGTTCTCCAACATATGTATCAACTGGATGTCGATAAGGTAAAAGTCCAAATTTATATTGAAATATTCCACGTCCATAAAATAATGGTAATGCATAGCCCATTTTTTTTTGTAAAAATATTTGTATTGATCGTAATTTTGAACCACGTGGATTCGATATTTGTCCATATAGATCATTTTCACCAAATGAAAATACAGGAACTAAATTAGCACCATTTTCAAGAGCAACTTTAATAAAACCTTTACGATTTTTAAGTGTTAATATATATTCAAAAGATGAACGTGCATCTAATGATTCTTGTGCACCACCAAGAACTAATACAATACTATTACCTTTACCTTGTTTTAATATATAATTACATGATTCTCTTGATACATCACACATACCCATCATTGTTAAAATAAATTCAAAAAATGGTATTTGAAAATTTGAATTCAATACAAGAAAACGAACATTAATATCAGGAAATAAATTTTCAAAACCAGTAGCTTCAGTAGCAAAATTACCAATACCTCCTAGACAAATAATTCCATGTGGATGATAACCAAATATATAAGAACGATCAGCAGGTAGATCACATGTTTTATGTAAACGAATTGGAAAATAATCTTTAATGAAAAAAAAAAAAATGCAAATTCGAAAGAGAGAAAATAAAATTCTATACAAACCAACAAACCATTTCCAAAAAATTAATCGACGAAACCATTGTTGTCTACAACCACCATGTGTAGGATAATTTCTAAACATCGCCATCCATATTAAATAGATAAGAAAACTTCCAAATATATACCAACGATCAGCACGAAGAAAACATATTGTTAAATATATACAAAACCATGGTAATAAAGAACATACAAGAACAGATAATGTTTGACATCGACGATGCCATGGTATATTAAGTGGAGCAAATATACGTTGCTTTGATGATGATTTCGATTTATTGACCAATTTTTCTATGTTATCCATTGTCTTAACTTACTGAAATGAGAAAAAGATATACTACTCTGTTTATTTTATATCATTGGGAAGAAAGTAGTTTGTTTTGGATCAGAGATGAGCAGGATGGCTACAAAAGCGCCCTGTTCCATCTGCCAACAACGTAAATTTTTAGTCACCTCTCCTTTTTTATTTTATGATACGACATTGCATAATTCCAATGCATATAAATAAGGAGCATAAGTGTAGATGTTAATGCTGGAAGAGTGCTCAAGAACTGAGAAATAGTAATTTCTCTGCAGTTCAGTAAATATTATAGAATATTCACGAGAGTTTTTGCTCTGACACTCATTTTCACTCAAAAAGCTATAAAAGAAATAATTAAGTGCACAAACTGTTTTTTAAAAAAAAAAGTACTTCCATGAATCGTGTGACTATGAGACAAACACAATGGTCGATTCCAATTTTCCATAGATTTATCACAGTGGGACTGAACATTTCTCGATAGATTCAGAATTCCTATTTTTCAACCTTTGGACACTGTGACGATTTTAGATGGAAGAAGAACTACGCTTTATTATATTTCTTCCTATCCATAACCGCATCGTTTACATACAAAGCATACGCTTATATACTCTTCCATGGAAGAGAAGATAAGTACAATACGATGTACGATGAAAGGCAAAAAATATAAGGACAATCCATAAGATGAGAACAAGTAGTAAGAAGAGGAAAATATCATGCATACACTGCATGCTACGGGCACGTTACAGACACTATTGGCCTTCCGCGAATGAAGTGAGCACTTCTCCGAATTTCTGAATATGTGACAGTACTCTCTGAAAAAAAAATGTAGTAGTTCCAATGCATGAGGAAATTGTAAAATCTAGCGGTGCGATGTTGCACCGCGCCTTGCTCAACTATGTTCTGGATGTCCGAAAAAATTTTCGTTTAATCGAATTTATACGAAAAATAAAGAATATGTGAAGTATCGAGCTGTATTTAAGTAGTGTCTTGAAATTTAAAGACTATTTATTTATGCAATTCTGTGTGAAATATGATTATTAAAATGCTTTTCAATCTTTTATTTATGAAACAGTATTAGTATTTTGAGATTTTTCATTTTGGAAATAGTTTTAAGAATAATATTTGATTAAATTTTCAATTGCAAGAGTTAAAAATATTTTGATTTGACTTATTCACATAATAAAATCGATTTTTATTAAGTCACGTCGTCTTTCATTTATCCTACCTGAAGTTGTTGTGTATATTTTTTTTTTGTCGATTAGACTTTGAGTTTCAATGTATAGTAAATAAAATCGTTGCTATAAATAATCGATACTTTTGTTTTTTTACATGTTCTCTTCATCAATCACCTTTTAGCAATTTCATCCTTATGTACTTGCACAATTTGAAAGCAATACTATTGAATATTCAATATAAATAAAGATGCCACTAGTTAACATAAAAATTACAGGTATTAGAATTGTTTTATTTTAAATGCAAAAATCGTTTTCTGTACTTTCAAATTGATTCAGTAAGAGCAATCGATGAATTTGGCAACTATGTCAATAGGAAATGATTTTAGCATCTTATTCATAATTATATCATTCATTTGTAAATGATGAATTGACTAAATTTTTCGGATATAAAAATTTGATGTATTCGAATTTTTCATATGAGACATGTTATCTATTGATTGGATACATTTTCTTTTTCCTTCTTTCACCTAAACAGATTACAAAGAGTCGGTCATCGAGGTTTAGATGCGTTTTTTTCTTCCTACTATTCTTGTCTCTTACTCATCGAATATATTTTTTATCCCACCGGGTATTCATTTCATTGGAGACGAAAAAATAAATACTACAGGTAATTTGTTTTATTCTATACATATTATATTCTATTTATAAGATATAATTCGTTTGTATGACTACTGAAACTCGATGGCCACATCTTATTGGTGAAGATGGTAATAAGGCTGTTGAAATTCTTCAAGACGAAGGTGAAAATATTTTCTTTTCCAAATATATCTAAGATTTTTCTATTTAGGCATGGAACCACGATTACTTTTACCAGGAATGCGAAGTCTGAGTCACAACGACGCAGAAAATCCTAAATTCATCAGTATTCATGTCGATGATGATAATAAAGTTGTTCATCTTTCAAAATAACATTAGAAGACATTTTTTTGTACTGTAGTTGTTTGAAAAACTTTTAATTGATTTAGATAAATAGAAAAAAACTCTTAATCATGAATAAATAAATCGTTTCAGACACCATAATATTTCAAAGTGATAATTATCGAATTCAATTAACGATAGACTTAATTTAAATTAAATATGTCGCTTGTTTGGTAACAGAACTTATTGCTGATCTTTCGTATTTTCAAAAGTATTTAGTTCTAATAAACGATCTATTATTTATTTAAAAAGAAAGTCATAAACGTCTCTATGGGTAGGAAGAAAGAGTAAATGAATGATAAAAGATTTTGATAGGTCGTTGTTTGATTAAATAATAAATACTTTTAAAAACCGAATGACAATTCTTAGCAGAGATGGACAAAATCGCACCGCGCCTCACCGCGCTTCCCCGCGCCACTGCTCGCGCCTAGGCGCTACGCACATCTCTCTTTCTCTTTGCTCTACCAATCAGTTTCTCAAACTCCACCGAATACCAGGATGCTCTAAGCATGCGCTCATCGAAGCTCAGACTAGTGTAGCGTAGGCGTGAGCAACGGCGCGGGGAGGCGCGGTGCGATTTTGTCCATCTCTGATTCTTAGTATTTTATGTAGAGATGAGATACGTTCAATTCATGTTCTGTAAGAATATATGTAGAAATCCTTTTATGATTTAATTCAATTTTAGAATCTTGAAAATGCCTGTAGACGAGTTTGTTTTGAACCTTTCATTTAATTTATATCGAGCATAATTCTTATTTTTTCCCAAAGATCCATTGAATTCGATATCAAAAACAGAATAAAGCATGTCTTTCTTTGAGGTGATTGTTTTACAAAAAAAAAACTCTTGAGTAGTGTTAGATTTATCATTTAATCAAATGAAAAACTAAGAAATGAAGAGAAATAACATGATAAAACTTTGTAAATAGAAGATTGATGGTGGTCAACATCTGTATAATTTTAAAAAGGTTTTTTTTATTTGTAAAGGATCAATGAATGATAAGAGAAAAAAGTCTAGATCCCATTATTATCGTGTTTTCTTTGTCAAATGATAGTAGATATCATTTTTTGATTCTCTATATCGAAATATTGATATGAACCATCCGAGAATATTTAACATAAATGCAGTTTGATGAATGGAATTTAAGTTTTGTGCAATATCATTTGATATTGATTTCATGAATCGAGTTTCTAAAGGCATTAAACGTACAATAATAGTATATAAAATTCCAAATAATTGAAAAGCTGATATAACATCTAATAAATGACGTTGAATTGTAGCTTTTTTTGTTAGAATTTGAAATAAATTTTGAATATTTATAAATATAGTTATTGGTAAAATTATTAATGGTAATATTCGCCAATATTTCCATATAGGTGCTTGATTTTTAAATAATAAATATTGTTGATAAACTTCTAATTTATTCTGTTGCAAAACATAAGTTGACAGGCTCAATTCGATGATTTCTACTGTTAGAAAATATGTAGTGAATAGCATAGCAATTGTCAATTGTGATACAGCAAATGGTTTTTTGTATGATACTACATCATCATCATCATTGTCACGTTTTTTAGAAGACATCTTTGAAGAACAACAAACAAAAATATTACAGAATGATTTAAGTTAATGAAACCAATCTCTGAAAATAATAATTTAATGATTTTGACTTCACTTTCTACATTTAACTAAAAAATTATATCTAAACAATAGAATACGATAAAGAAAAAAAAGTCACCCAGCAAAATTATTGATACTCTTCATATTTACCTGTGAGATAGCACAATATGTGTTTAGCGGTTTGTATGTGAATTACTGTCTTTTGTTTTTCGTTATCTATGACGTAGAAAAGAGTCTTAACTGATACAAAAAGGTTGCAGTACAGTCTCTATGAAATTCATATATAAAACACGATAGAGCCAGTTTCATTGTACATACATACCAGAGATGTCCATTGCGGCTCAAAATCTGCCACTGCCGCGCCGCGGCCAAAATCAAACAAAGCTGCCGCGCCGCTCCCGCGACGCGATGGCCTGTTAAAAAAAGCTACCGCGCCGCTGCCGCGACGCGCCTTAAAAAAAAACTTGCCGCTGCCGCGCTGGTATTCGAAAAAATGTTTTGATTTTCAAGGCTTTGACTGGTTTGAAATAGAATTGATGCCGCTAATCGATCAGATTCGCTAAGTCTTACAGTATAGCATATATAAACATGCAGATTCTGTGCAAATTCATGAATTTTTGAAATTTTTTCCTAAAAAGCTGCCGCTGCCGCGACGGCAAAATAAAAATCTCTCCAGCGCCGCGATAGTTTTTGGAAAAAATCTGCCGCTGCCGCGCCGCGATGGACATCTCTGATACATACTCTCATTACATTGATATATAATCTATGGTATGTCGTATAGGGAGCAGAAGACAATGCTACAAGAAGAAAGCCAGAGCTTTTGAAGTTCTACATTACAAATTCGTTTATAATCTATAATATCGAAGTCAAATAAATCAAAATCTTAGATTTGCCTTATTTGTCACAATTGGCATATTCTGTTTAATCATGATTTACATCTATAGATAGTTCCAAGTGAATATGTTATAAGGAAGTCGAAATTAAGATTATCCGAAAATTCAAAAGTAGAATGCTCTTACATAATAAATAAAAGACAAACTTATGATTGCATGTTTTTTTTTTGCACTCGATTATTTTAAACTATAAAGTTATGTCGAAGAACTACATCTTATCATACAATAGTAATACTTTCATTTTGTTAAATATTCAATTATTTTTAGCATTTTTCATATAATAGTCGTTCATTATATTGCAATATGTAAAACAAAATGAAAGTTATTAAATGTAAAAGAAGAGATCAATTATCGTCATGAAAACATGAAGAAAATGTTGATGAACGACATAAACATCTATAGGCAAATTATCGGACACAGGTTCAGGTTGTGAATCTTTTTTAAGTTCGTCTTCAACTTTCGGTTCTATCAATATTTCACTTTCTTGATTTGTCTCGTTTTCATTCAAATGAAAAACTAATCGAAGTCGAACCTGAGCAAATTTTACACCGTAATATTCTGCCCAGAATTGTCTGTCTTTGCCACAGTTACTGATGTAGGAAAGTGTATGTATTGCTTGTAATGGTAAATTAATCAATGCCATTTGCTATCATTCCATTGTGGAAAAGTTCGTTCACATTCCCAATGATGTCCATCAGAACAAAATCAGACCAATTTGACATTCCGAAGCACAATCCCATCGTTTCGATTATTGGATGTAGACAAGAAAGCTAGAAATGATAGATTATTGAATTCATCATAGATCCATTCGCTACCAATCGGATAAAATTCAATTCGTGAATCTGTACTAGGAGATTTTCTCCATTTATTCTCGACAATCAAATTGTATGATGGATGAAAAGGATTATTGATATAGAGTTTTTCATAAGCAATAAATTCACAAGGAAAAACTTGAGTAGGTAATAAGACAAAATCATAACGATATTTATGTTGCCAAAAATTTGATGATTTAAGAATACGATAGAAACGTTGACAAACAAGTGAGATTGAAAGACCATACGTGATTGTTTTTGGTAAAATCTGGTAAATGACGTACCGAAAGAAAAATTTGTTCGAGTAGTTCATCAGGCAAATAATCGAAAGGATTTATACTAGAGGTCATCTATAATTAAGAATTTATTCTACATGAATAATTACTTCGTGAAATATGCTATGACTATAAAAACGTTGGACACAGTAATAGAAACAAGAGAAATAAAACACTTAAAGTGTTACTACATAATTACAAATGAATCAAAAAAATATCATTTTTATCTTCATCATTCGAACAAAACTTAATTCAATTTATTGTAATTTTCAATTATATTCTACAGTTATTACATAAGTACAAAAAGGCAAACTAACATAAATCTGAAGTTTTCTGAACTCAAAATAGTTTTTCAAATTTCTCTTGTAAAATATGCATTAGAACACTTTGCTTTTACACTAGCAAGTATTTTCATAGTGTTCAAAATAACATTACATCAAACTGTAACAAATTTGACGAAAAAAAAAATGATTAGTTCATTTTTATCTATTAATTCTTAAATATTTTATAGGACGTCTTCGATTTAATTACCGAAATCAGCTCATAGTCTTGTACAAACAAAATCGGTAACTTTTTACATAGTTCATGAAACTATCATATTTTCTCATAACGTTCACGAAATTATCAGCGTTACACTTTTTTTTTTGTACAAAAAAAAAATAACAATGAAAAATTAAATACATTTGAACATATTCATGGGATACAATGATTCGTTCAGAATTTTGAATAATAATAAACTACGCTAAGCTTGTTGAGATAGATTTAAATCATCATGTTGTTTTACAATTTGATAAACATCTCTTGTCGAAGTTATACCATCATTTTTAATATCCGTATTAAATTTTTTCGGTAAAGAAAGATACCAATATGCAAAACCAACAAAAATTCCTCCACCAATAATATTTCCCAATGTCACTGGTATTAATACATGTAAAATATATTTACCAATAGATAAATTAGCACCAAGAATCATACCCATTTGAACTGTAAACATATTAGCAATTGAATGTTCATATCCAACAACAATAAAAACACATATTGGTAGATAAATACCAAGAATTTTTGAATATAATTCACGTGCACTTGAAGCTAACCATAATGAAAGACATACAAGCCAATTACCACCAATACCACGTAAAAATATTTCATACCATTTAATATTACCTTTTGTTTCAGCTAATTGTATAGTAAATAAACGATATGGATCATTAGAAAGAAGACCTGCATAATAAACAAGTATATATTGAAAAAATAAACAACCGATAAGATTTCCAAAAAATGAAATTATCCATGATAAAATAAGATCAAACCAAGTTGTTTTTCTATGTAATGTTGATACTATTAATATCATTGTATTACCAGTAAATAAATCAGCACCAGTTATAACTATTAGAACGAGACCAATAGGAAATACAATACCTTGTAACAATTTATGTATACTAGGACCAAAATTTTGAATCATTGGAGTACTACCACCACCTACAATTAAGAGAAGTAGACCACCAAATGATAATAGAACACCAGCAAAAAATCCTTTAATAATCATATGATCAATTCTTTGTTTCGTTTTTTGAACTCCATAAATTGATATGAGTTCAATTGTATCTTGAAAATTTCGAGTATCTATTGTTGTCATAGATAATTGAAATCTTATTAGTTTTATATCTAGAAGAATATACTACCAAGTGTATATTGTATTCAAAATTAATTCAATGGATTTTTACACAATTGGATTAAACATATTACATGACTTGTTATTGAGTATGAGTGTCTGATATTATTTCAAATTTTGTGATGATATCATACGACTATTATAATGTTTAAACAGCTAAATTGACAAATTAAATGTATAGAAAATCATGATTATGTAAAGAATAGTAAAATTTTGCATCGATAACTAAAAAAATATTTTCATGTTTACTATTTGTGATTGATGAGTCTCTCATATGAAACTAATCATTTAAAACCTATACACGAATAGCAACTATAAGCGATATAGACACCTGATTGTTGTTTATCAAAAAATATATGCGTCGATGATGAATGCAGAGTAACAGATAAAATAACATATCTCTTAATTTAGAGAGAGCATTCATGTGTGACGCATGCGTTTGTCTATCACTGTATTTGCACGCTAGGCATGTGTAGAGTATGGTATTTTATATCCGAGTTTATTGACTATATGTATGAAAGAGGGATAGAAAAAAGAAAACTAAGTATTACGATGATTTACGACATTTACATACAATAAAAATAAAAGATTAAGAAGAGCTAAAAATATAACAATCAATGTAATAAATGGCCTCAGTCTGTTAACAATTTTGAAGTGAAGTTCTCAAGTAAATCATGATGTTAAATATAACAAGCGGAATACACGCGTTTGCAGAGTTCAACACGAGCTGTGTTTAACTTCCTTGAATCTCTGAAAAGAACCGACGTGTCAACAAAAGAAAATTCAAAACAAAAATAAAACATGGATTTTGTCTAGTTCATTTATAATTAGTTTAGAAGAAAGTTCATCATTTTGCTCATCTAATGTCAACATAGAAAAGTGCATTTTCAATGTTTTGATGTTGATAAAAAAAAGTCAAGGAAGTTTTGAACTATAAGATGCTGGGAAAAAATGAAATGAACAATATTTGAAGAATAACTGAAACGTAGCAGAAAATAATTGAGTTTTTTTTTTCCTGTAATAGATCGATTTGTATCCATTAATTTCAACATACTAGTGTAAAAAAAAAGGAATCAACTCGATTTAATATCGAAGTAAAAATTGATTAATGTCTTTAAGTTAAAATATTCTATACCTGCTGAAATCTGATTGTATTATATTCTCTGCTCTTTTGAATCAATCACATTTTTCATCTCGAAGCAATAATCTATCTAACAACAATAGAAAGAATAATGAAATGATATTCAAAAAATGCATCATTCTATGAAGGCTTTCGATAAGAACGAATATACTATTGACTTAAATTAGAAGAAAGATGAACTGTAATAGAAGAGTATAGGTGTGACATAAAGATTTTTCTTCACTCATATCCTCATACTTTTCTTAATGGGTGGAAATTATCTTTGACTTTTTTTATTTAGTTTTCTAGTAGCTAATAGTTATTTTTAAATGCTAGATCTCATCAAAAATTTTATTATGAAATCTGTACTTCTTTTCTTCGTTTATAAATTATCCTAATATATTATTTTTAAACTTATGTTAAATTCATTTTAACTTATATTTTTGTTTATTATACGATTTAAAAACAAGTACGCAGTTGTTCATGGAGATATAATATCATCAAATAACAAGATTTGAAAACTTCACATTCAGAAGAAGAACTCATTTATATAAAATAACAATATTTTTTCAAAAGAGAATAAAAGATTATGATTTAATTAAAAGATTAATCATTGAATTTTTCTGGTTATGGACTATCATTTACTGAATTGGGTCAAAAGAATACAGATACTCAAATTAATTTACTTGATACAAAAATGAATATTAATCGACAAAATTCTTATGACAAGAACAGTCCCATAAACATGATCACATGTTGGAAAATTAGACATAAATGAGATTTAGTTATTAAGGACAACTGATAATCGATTAGTCTAATTAAAATAAAAAGTTTGTCAGCTGTAGAATTACAAGCGTAAAAAAAAAAGTAAGATCAATTATTAAGTTCAGCAAAAAAAGGAACTCCAGGAAATGCATGAGTAAATGTTATATTTGTATTTTCTGGTTGTGACGCAAGAGAATATGAATTTATTCCAATTGATTTTAGATGGATTTCCATTGACACTATCCAATTCGATTACAACTTCACTATGATTTTGTGATGATCGAAGTAATGGAAGAAGTTCTTGTACGAATAAAATTCGATCATAATAGTGTAAAGCTAGTTTATTGTCAATATTTTCTGTTGTTGGTGTTCGACCTGCCATAGTTAAAATCAGCATGTCAACTGCATTAATCTTCTTTGTTACTGCTCGAATTCCAGACATGAGTGAGACATCAGCACGAATAAATTTTGGATTTGAACCTAATTGTGATAAGATAGCATTAGCAGCCGATTCATTTCATCCAACAATGGTTATACTAGCAGATGGACAATGTCGAGCTATTGCTCGACCAATACCTGATGTATCACCAACGATTACAACATTTGGAGGTGGTTTTAAAGAAGATAGAATACGAGCGTTTGAAGCAGTTGCTGCTCGTACAGCGGCGGATATTTTCAATGATTAGTTCTAAAGACGAAATGTTTTGTAATACTAGACCTGAATTAAACATTTTTTTTTACACAATCATGATTACTAATAAAATGACTACAACAAATACAAATAAATCAAACTTGACCCGTGTGTAATCTTGAAATATCTCAATTTACAGAATCAAGAATGATAGAATACAGTAGATGATTTCCTCTGTAGTCACTATGTGAGATTTCTAAGGGTTTTAAAAATTAATTACGGAAATTGCAATTAGGTTCGGCATTCGTCGATGAGTAGTCATCTCTTGTTTCATAATCATAGAACAGTTTGTTTACACTTTTAGTATGTAATGACTTCTGTTGAGTATTTGTCATAATTGGAATTCTCTATCGTACTATTAACAGAAATTCGTTGCAATCTACTGAAATTTCTTAAAAATCATTCATGATTAAATTACCTTCATGGATCATTTGGTGAACTTATTTATTATCATTTTACTAAGAATTTACCCCCTGAGGACGGTAAAATAGTACGTCGAATAAAGTCCAATGCCTATCGAACAGTTTTAATGAAAACCGTTTGACTAAAACTCAACTCTCTTACATATGAAATTTACGTCATTTTTATAGTATACTTACCTTCTTGTATAAAAACAATAGAATATTATCAGTCCTTTTTCTTCACAACAGCATGTGCGCATAATGTTTGTGGAAGAAAAAAGCAAAAAGAATCAATAAATTGCTGAAGAAAAAAGAACAGAAAGAAAGAAAAAAAGAAAAGAATCGATTTCTATTCGAATGACGTGTTGTGTATCAGAAAAGGAGACATTTAACCGATTGAATGATAACTTGTTAAAAATAGTAAGACTATTTGTTTATTATCTCTTATCTCTTACGATCTTAGATTTATTAAGCTGTATCAAAGATCACTGATTCTGCTTCGATTTTTTTTGTATTCATACCATTCATTCGTAACATGTGGTAGAGAAAAGCTAATACCCAGTACTTTGAAGTTTTGTTCATGGTCTTCATATACGACAGTTTCTGATTTTCTTCATCGATTAAGATTTGTCATTAAATTGATTATTATTTTGCTGAAGCTAAATGCTTTCTGTAAAAGTAGAAAAAAATATAAAATACAAAGTAGATAATGATTTGAGTTTATTACATAGATTAGTGTAATGTTCATTCAGTTTTCAAACCATTTGTTGGATATGAAATATTATGTTTTTCGAGTATATAATATGATGGGCCCATTTTACTCATAGATAATCCATGAGCCATTTCAACTCGTTTCAAAAATTCCAGCTTTGTCTCACCAGGTAAAACAGTTATTGGAGCCGATCCAGGCATACTTGCGAAAGCGACAGCTCCATTAGTCATTAGTTCATCTTTCTTGTCAGCACTTATATTTTTTAACTGTTCCGTAGTACATACTTCATACCAGATTGTAAGTCGACTTTTCCATTTTTGAGGATAAATAACTCGATGAATGCCTGGTTTAAGTCGATTTTGTGTTATTCGAGATGCCGCTTTTCCTAACCAGATGACACCAATATTTGGTTCTAAAGGTCCATCTACCCACTCATTGTTCGTCATATTTTTCAATTGAAGTCCTTTATGTGTCGATAAAATACTAATTGAAAATAATCCTGGATCATAATGTGGAACACAGTTGACTTCTTCAGTTGTTTGTCCGTTCTCTGGTGGTTGAAAGCCACTTTTTTTTGTTGAAGTAAGATACAATGTCGAGCATACCAAAATGCTCATCTTGAAATGGGAGATCGGCACGTTCGATAAGAGATTATAAAGATGGCTGCTGTTGAAATACTGAATGATGATCAAGAATTTCGATTAAACGTATCTAATACTTGAGAAAGATAGTTCAACAGTTGAACAAGCGTCGTTGATACCAGTCCTTTATTTGCAAATTGACTAAAATAACTTCCAGTCAGAAGTTTGATTCATTCTTTATGATCCGTTTTAGAATATCCATATATAGCCAAGTGCTGTGAATATCTACTCTTACTATTATCAGACTTGAAAAATGTCGACAGTTGTTTGGTCAACATTTTGTCTAGAATGAATTTGGTTGGTAAAAAAAGACGATTCAAATTCAGTTTCCATTCGTTTTATTTCAGTAACATCATTAAGATTTAATATTTTATTTAAATCAATAATGACTTGTGTTTTCTCGTTCAATAAAGACATGTTTGAGAAATTATATGGGTCAAGTTAAAAATATTGTTTTCTTTTTGAATATATTATAGTTACTCGACAACTGCTTTGCTATATAAACAAAAGAAGAGTTATTGCACAAAGTTTTTCGCATGTAGCGTCATTGATTGTGAAATTATATAAATGCATTGCTTACTCACTGAAAACTATGACTCTCGATGTCAACTCAGCAGCTCAGTTTTGACTGGATAATTTTAAATGAGTAGTCGAAATCTGTACACTTCTCGATACAACTATTTCCTGTTCTCTTTATGTGAGTCATGGAATGATACGAAATAGCATACTCAAGATTACATCTCATTAATACTTGATCGATCACTTAATATCCAGATATCGAATCAGTTCTACTTATTCTATCATAATTTTCTAAATACAAAAGTTGAATACTACGTCTATTGATCTTCGCCACAGTACTTGTATATGAATGGCCAAAAACAGTAATAGGCTCTCATATTATTAAAAGACAAATACAGTATGTTTGTCTCATCGCATGCGTCATTCGCATCAACCAAAGACGAGTTGCATGATAAGTGTGTTAACGTTTTTTTCTTTTCGTACGCAAGTGATGTGTTTACACATGGCGTGCGTAGCAGTTTTCATTGGCGCAGATAATGTTCAATCAGAAAATGATGAATAACACACTTTATTAGCTGTTTTTTCCCAAAATACAACAAGTCAATTCTTTGATGCAGTGGCAGTGAAGAAGTATATACTTGAAACAACGCTTTAATGTGTTACAAGATGATAGATTGTTAGACGTGGCTTGTCACATATTAATGGTTTTCCTACATGAGATAAAATCGACTGCAATTTCTAGATAATCTCTCAAAATCATCTTATGTTCGGGAAAATTTATTGGATACAATCCCTTCGAATCTGAATGTTATTCTCTCGATTTATATTTGTCTCTTCGACTTTTGTAGAACTTCATGTAAAGTATATCGATGCAACTTCGATGAAGTTGAAGCATCTAATTCACATAAGAATGCTGTGCTAAAAAAAGAAGAACCAAAATAGAAATAAGGAAGAAAGAAGTCAAGAACACAAGACATAATGAGCAAAAGTGTTTATTGAGTTATATAATTCGTTGTCTATCCTATTAGACGAAGCAGTCTAACAATAGAGAGCTTCATTCTTCAGATTGTAACTTCGACTCACTATTTTTATAAGAAATCCGACAAAAAGTCGAAAATCGATATTGTTTTCATTTGATTGATGTGTAGCTTGATGTTTTAGTTTCATTTTTACATCAATAGAAATAAAGATCAATACCGATCTAGTACAAAACGTCTACCAGTATCCCCAATTGGTCTGATATCTTCATGTCAAACCGTTTCCAACTCCAATTTGTACTAAGTTTTCTCGCGCATTCTAAGAGCTTTTAACTAAACAAAACTATAGAAGCTTCTAGTAGTCCATATATGAACTCATTAGAGAATTTTATGTTTCGGATATGAGTGTGGATAAATAGAAAGTCTTGATGCTCATCCATCTACACTCAAGATCCAGAGTTACGATATTGTCAAGATTACTCGTTAGGAGGGATAAACACCTTAAGTAAATCAAGCGAACTATGTTTTTCAAATTGTTTATTGTTGAATAGATGAAGTTCAACAATTTGATGTTTATATAAGGGTTTTGCCATATTGCAGATAGAGAAGACTTCTTACTAGTATGAGAAGAAGAGGAATCAAGGTGAAGAAGGTAGGCAAATACATTCAGAAGTACGACAAAAACGATCGCCCGGAGAAACCTTTTGATTGATTTAAATAACACAGCATTTTACCGATAGGTGTGGGTGTGGGCGTCGGTGAGTGTGAAAATGATTTTCTTTTCAGATCTACACCCACACTCACACACCCCCATATCAACATTTTCCTCTTCTTACTTTCTATTTTCAAATGTGAGTGAACCCACATGTTCATTGGTGGGGAGGCACATTACAGACATATAAGATATATGTCTTCACGCATTCTGTTCTTATCGATATTCTTCTTGAGTCATTGGAAGAGAAAACGAACATAGAGAAGGAATAAAAAAGATCTTCTAATAATGCGTCAAATGATGATGATGTGTGTGTGTTTGTGTACCAACAAATAGATAATGACTCCTCTTCATTTTATCAGTTTTTAGTGACACAAAGCTAACGTAATTACATTGCGTAAAGCAAGCAATAACAGAATGAGTATATATTTACGTAGCTATTTTATTGCATACTCTATCAAAAATTTTAGAAATTCTTCAGAAAGAAATTGGCGATGCGAGTGTTCATTTTAGTTGTTTTGGTTGTTGGCTGTGTTGGCAGTGCTCAAATTCTGATTGATAACGTGCGAATCTCCTCTAGTGGCTCATCCGATGCTACAACTTCAAAACCTACCACTAGGCCAGCTACGACTTCAAAAGTTACCACTAGGCCAGTTACGACTTCAAAAGCTACTACTAAACCAGTTACGACTTCAAAAAGTACTACTAGATCATTTACAACTTCAAAAGTTACCACTAGGCCAGTTACAACTTCAAAAGTTAGTACTAAACCAGTTACGACTTCGAAAGTTACCACTAAGCCAGTTACGACTTCAAAGGCTACTACTAGACCATTAACGACTTCAAAATCTACTACAAGACCAGGAACGACTTCAAAAGCTACTAGTAAACCAGTAACGACAGCTTCCCCATACATCAACTGTTACTATTGCGACAATATAGGCCATCCATGCCCTCAACCATTCATTCCATCTCATCCAAATGTACTGATTCTTCCATCATATAATAGATTCTGCGAAGTAAGTAAAATCATAATGAAGCCATAAAGTTTCGTAACAATTCATTCGATTTGTTTGTATATCTTGATAGCTAAATAACCAGTAACACAATGTGAAGGATATGAGTGAAGGTACTCATAGTCCACATTATAGGTACTTTCAAAAAGAAATATTCCTTTCATAAAAAGTGGTGATCGGAAAAATTTCAATGATTCTTTTCTGTAAAACTGAATCATGTTTTTGAGATAAAATTTTGGTGTAGAGCATATAATGATTCATCTATTGCTGATCATATTGTCGATCACTGATGAAAGTACCTTAAATTTTCTCGAACCTATTTACAAAAAATGCCATTCATTTACATACTGACAATTACATTTTCCTTGACTATCGGCAGTCTCCTTCCTGAAGTCCAGGTCTTCTATGCTTTACCATCCTGATTGTGTAAATCGTATATTGTACAGCGCGGCAAAATTCTTTCCTGCAAGACACAACCGGCAATACTATCGACATCTTAAGCATAGTCATATTGTTTTAGAAAAAAAACACTCTCTAGTAGTTGATAGTAGATGTTGATCTTCTTTTTATTCCCACGTACACCAGCAACCTATATCAACACTCCATAATCATAGCAGATGGCTGAAAACAAGTGTTTGATAGAGAAATTACCCTAGATCTCTGATAGTAGTACACCGTTTTTTAGATCTTATTTGGGAATGATATGAGAGCGATCTTGAAATTGAAATGAGTTTTTATGAATCTCAATCTATTTTCGAAAAAACTTTATTAAGATTTATTAATATTGGACAGTTTTTAATAACTAGTTTCCGAAAAGACGATTATTGACTAAGATATCAAGAATAAGAAATTTAAAGCAGAGATTTACTTTTCAATTTTTCTTATTTCTTCACTCGTCTACCAATAAAATAACTCATCGAATAAAATGTCTTACACGTGATCTTCTGATTTGAATTCTGAATGATCGGAGAACTTTCAAAAAAAATCTCAAAATTACGATGAAGTTTTTGACGTACATATTTCTACATAATTCTCATCATAAGAAATAGTTAGATTTCAGAAGAGAATCTTATATCGCTCGCTACTGTTAACTATATTACGAATTTATATTGTTGCTAAAAGTTCTTATTGTACTGATAATAGATTTATATTGGTTTAATGAAGATTAAGAATCTATTCTTTCTTTCTTAAGCGAAAGTATCTATTTTCATAATACACTTTCAATGTTCTATCATTTCAGAAAATAAGTCCAAATAATGGTGATGCGGGACTTATTACTCGCGGACCAGCAAATTCAGGTAATTGCAACCGAAGCGGTTGCTATAAGAAAAATATTAACAATCTATGGATGGAAGTCTGTTGCTGTGACAGAAATATATGTAATCTGGGTATCAAATCAGTGAAATCATCGACTTGGGCACTTGTACTCAGCACTTTGGCAGTGATTTTACTCCGAAAATGTTAAGTGGCACAATGTGCTTTTTTTTGAAAGATTGAAAGTCTTATCAATAAAATTGATTCATGAACGAAATTGTATTACATTCACTGTTTACTACTAAGAAGTATACCTTCTTTCCTAGCTGGATAAAAATTTGCAGAGCAATTTCCTGAAAAACTAACAACTGGATAGAATGAATGGTTTTGTCATTTTTGTTTCCTACGAAAATCGAAGTCGACTGTTTTTTTTTTCAACTCGACAGAACCAGTGAGTTTAGTATTTAGATTAGTTTCTGTTCATTTAACATATGATCATCCTCGACATACATTAATACAAAGAATGAAAGAAGAAGAAATTTTTCATTAAGTAATTCATAATAACTTATATTGAATAATGTCTATGATTTGTTTTGTCTCGTTTCCTTCAGTAAAGATACAATTTTTTTTACAAGAATTGATATTTTCTTATTTAAAACCATTATTTAACATGACTGAAAGACTTTTCAATTCGTATAAAGTTATTAAGGATATCTCCTCTTCCTTCTTTTGCAAGCGTCTGTACAACGACTTACTCGAAAAATTTCAAATTAAATATCCAGGGTACTCTAAAAAGTGCATATTTTTGTTTTTGAATAGAGCTTTTTTTCTCTAAGAACTACAAAAAATACTCAATCCAAATAGCGAAACGTATCAAACTGGAGAAACGAAGGCGTTTCTGCGCTTTTTTTTAATGAAAAAATAATTTCGAGAAAAAAGTTTCAGTATGCATATTTCATCAAAATTCAAGGCAATCCTAAGCTATGCGAAGTTCGACTAGTAAAATCCTAAAATTTTCATTTCAATCTGTTGAATTCACCCTGAAATATATGTAGTTGATTGAAAACTAAATTTTACTGTTTGACAAATCATGACAAAAATACTATGTTGCACTATTAAATAAATAGCTGAAAAATGACGAGGACACACGATGTAAGTAGATAGTGTTTGATATATAACTTCCTTTAATATTAGTCCATGAAGAACTATGTGATGCCTATGATTCGAATTCTACGTATGGTAGAAAATTCAAGGTAAAACAAAATAAAAAATATGAACTAATGGAATCTTGTCTTATTTCAAGTGAATTAACTTCTTGACTAAATAGGATTATATGATAAATATTTCAATTAATTTATTGATGGGCATCGAATTTCGTCTTGACTAGGGATGTGCGATTTCAGTCTACTGATAACTGACGTCATCGATTCAGTGAGCATTGGCACAGCAGCAAAGCAGAAAAGTACTTTGCCGATATGTAAATCTAATGGATCGATATGAACAGAAGCATGACCCCTTTCTACTTTGAGATTTTGGAAGGCTACATCTCTTTGCTTTGAAGACCTGGATAGGACCTTTTCAAATGGCAAAACAGCTGTTGAGATGAGACTTTCGTTATTATATAGGAATTATCAAGAGTAGAAAATCTCTGAAATGAATCATTATCTTTGATCTTTGTTCTCGAATCGTATCTAATCTATCAAACTTTGATATATATATATCGACATATATCATAAAAACTTAGATGAAACTCACGAAAAAAGATTCAATAGACGTTTCACTACTTGAAACAATACTCTCGTGATATTATCAATCAGTGTGCATTGACACAAAATAGAAATTTATTTAGTTAAAAATCAATTGTTTAATTAATTAAAATCAATGTGTCCATATTACTTGTCGACTGAATGAAGATTAGTTTTAGCTTCTTCTTATCCAAATCTACGAAGATGTAAATGTAATAATAATACTCAATTCAGATGAGCACTTGTTCAAATATTTTCTTACTGCCCTTTCAGTATGATCATTAAGCAACATTTATAAAACGCTAAGTCTATTGATTGAAATACATAATGATCAACAGAATAAGAAAAAGCAACGATGTTATTCACTTCGTTTCTATGCACAATCTTGCTTGAATACTTTATTTCTTATCTTAAGCTAATAAATCAAAGTAATATTTCTCAGAAAGAAAATACTATACGCAGAAATTGTTTTTCATTTTTATTACTTCTATGTTGGAAATTTGTATGAGGTTTGACGATGAAAAATATTGAGATAATGCATCGTAAAACAAGAAACTATTTGTTCTGTCAAACAGTTAAAGAATATCGCCATGTCGGGTCTATACGCACAAAGAAATGAGTTCGAAGTAGAACGCACAGGAATTCGCGTAAATGTACCTAATAATGATGTAGCACGACTCATGTATTACCTAAATTGTGTATGCATAGTAATTGATTGTAACAATGAGCCTAGCATTCAACGTTATACAACTTATCAAAATTGGTATTCTTTGTCATTGGACGAGCAAAAGGTACTTCTTGCATTGTGTTATACATTCAATCCAGATATATTGCAAAATAAAGTTTTCTTTCAATATGATGCTCTATGTCAAGATGGTTCTAATGAATTCTACGAAATTCGACAAGCACGCAGTCAATTTTTAATTCATGAATCGATTCTTATAGCGGGACGTCAACATCATATTAATAATATTATGGCATATAAAACACAATGGATGTCTAGAAATTATTACGAACCGAGACAACGACTTGTAGCACGATTGAATAATTCAAATACACCTGCTGTTATGAAATCATCTTATGTTGGAGTATCATCTAGCAGATCGAAAACATGCAAGTACATATGGTGTGGTATTGTTTGTTTTTTCTGCATCATACCTGGTATTATTGGAATAATTGTTGCTATTGTAAATGCGGTTAAGAAATGATAATTATGAATATTTCTAAATGTGATCAGACCAGAGATGGACAAAATCGCATCGCGCCTCCCCGCGCCACTGCTCGCGCCTAGGCGCTACGCACATCTCTCTTTCTCTTTGCTCTACCAATCAGTTTCTCAAACTCCACCGAATACCGGGATGCTCTAAGCATGCGCTCATCGAAGCTCAGACTAGTGTAGCGTAGGCGTGAGCAACGGCGCGGGGAAGCGCGGTGCGATTTTGTCCATCTCTGGATCAGCCATCGTTTTACGTAGTTCACAAACATTTTTACTCTGCTTTCTATTTTTATACTTTCATAACAATAAATTATTTTTAATCAGTGACTATGTTTGCTTTTGACAACTATCAATAACTTTGACATTGGTTTAGTACTGAAAAATTTTTAATTTGAATTAATCATCTTCTACTTAATTATGCTTAAAAGAAAGGTAGGGGTTTCTTTGCATATTTGTTCACCGTTTGAAGAATTCGAACGATTGTCTGAAAGAGATGAAGTCCTATTTCACCTTTAATTATACAAATTCAAAGAAGAAGATATACATATCATCTTAGTTAATATGAATTAAAAATTAAGTTTGAGAAGAAAATCAAAATAGTTTTTCAGATTCTTTTTCTGAAATAAAATTCTTATGTCAATGCATTATTTCCTTTATTTATTTAAGCGACTTATAAATAATATGACAAATGGCGATAAATAACTCAATCATGTAGGTTATATGTTCTTACTAATTATTTCTATAAAATAAGATATATATTAAACCAAAAAAACTTAAAAAAGAAAAATATATTCATTAAGGAATAATTCAGACAAGAATTATCTTTATAATAAAGTAAAATTCAAATTTATTTACTACATCAGAGAACGTGTTGTATTTAGATTGGAGTGAAATATGTGATGGATAAATTGATTATCTTGATGAAATTCGAATACATATTGAACAACGTAATACACTTATACCATCGTTTGAATGCGAAGACAAAACATGTCGGTATACAATTTTGACTAATTCTTATGTACAACAATCCAAAAATCTACTATAGGAAACTATCTATTCAATAAAAGATAATTCGATATCTCAACAATGTTTGGTCAGTTTTTAAATGCATTACAAATTTACCCGTTTCACAAAAAAATCAATCATATTTGTAAAAAACACAAGTAGATGTAGAGATCATTGAAAATACTTGTTTCAGATATGTTTTACATTCCAAATATTCCTCTATTGATATTAGCAAATTCATGGAAATTAAACTATCATATACCTTTATATAAATTTTACTTATGAAATATGTAATTAGAGATGTAAGCCGAAGGATCAAACAGCGGTGGCGGCGCCTTATACTATTATCAAAAACTTTCGTTCCTGGCGGCGACAGCTCAGCTGTACGGCTTACATCTCTATATGTAATCGATTGAACATGTATCAATGTTTAAGTTCATCTAAGTGTATTTCAATAAATCGTCTATGGATGCTACAATTGATTTTTCTCAGAGAGATGACGAAAATTTTACATATATTAATTATATCGGTTTATCAAGACAATTAAAAACTCATTTCAAATGTGAACTAACTAATCATCATTTACTGATGAAACATACAATTGTTTACTTAATAATTATAATTAGTGTGAAGATGAAAATCTAGATTTTCAATATGCTAGAAAGAATCAATGTATTTGTAATGGATTTACTAAACTATTATTAATAAACAAATATGTGATGATCGTACAAATTGTAAACATGAAGATGATAAACAGTTTCGTATCAAACAACTAATATTAAAGATTGTATTTGTTAACCAAACGTCTATATCTTATGGTTCTGATGTTGAAAAATTTTTTATGTTATGAAACGAAAAAATACATAAATATTTTACATTCAATAAAATGAATACATTGGTTAAAAAATAATCAAAATAACTTAATAACAAATACATATCTTTGTCCACCTAGTTTCCATGTAGAGAAGGCAGCAGGACAGGATGGTGCAGCCGTCCTGGTGCCTGTCCTACAGGACAAGAGAAAACTAAATTTTTGTCCTGCTCTGCCGCAATTATTTTCAAACATTTATTAAGTCATTGAAAAACATTCATTGATAAGTTTTTTTTTGTTCTTGATATGAGTACTACGATGACAACTATGAAATTTTTACGCATTTTGCTTTACAATGTAATTTTAAAGCTAATTAACTTGTCGTATTTGTTTTTTTTTATTCAGTTAGATAGCGTTCAAGAATAAACTTGTGACATACACAACATTATGAAATAAATTGGTTACAAGATGATCGAAATGTTGAATATATACTTCTCGTAATAGAAAATGAAAGATATCATGTTCGCCCTTCGTCCTGTCCTGTCGCGCAGTACAAAATAGTAAGCCATTTTTCGTCCTGTTCTGCTGCTCGGTGGGACAGAGGTCAATTGTAGGGCAGGATGAAAAAGAAATTGTCCTGTTCGCATTTCTGTTTTCTATGATCAAAATCAACGAATAAGTTTTAAGAATTAAAAACTGATTCTTGGTTATTTATTGATGATAATAAAGAAAGAATTATTTTCATTCATATGAAAAATTTACATTTTTATTAATAAGAAATTGTAAAATAAAAATTTAATATTTATTCAAATTCGATCAAAAAATCTAATAAAAAAATTATGCAATATGTATTGGTATGTCTGCTAATAATCGATCTTTTGATTCTTGTTGTCTTCTTATCAATACAATATGTCAATTGAATAAGAATTTTACACTGGCAAAATAATGTACAATGTATTCCTACTGATGTATATATAATATCGAATAAAAAATTTCAATGACTCTGTCTAAAGAAGAACAATGTGAAATAGATGATAATAAAATAATTCTATTATTTTATCTCAATCAATAGTTATTCATCTTGTTTTTATTCAAACTTTTTTAATAAAATCTATCGTACAAAAAATTTTTGAATAATCAATAACATTGATTAAAATATATCTTATTCATCGTATTAAATATTATCATATATTCATTAAATCTTTCTATATATGTGTCTATGTTATGATTCATTTATCAAATTGTTTTGGAATTTAATCATAATATAATATTTAATTGTTTAGGTCAATGTTTTCAAGACAAACCTTATTGTCCATAAAGATCAATATGTATTTGTCCAGCATATTGTCAATTTCGTACAAGTAGATTTGGTTTATCATTTGATACTATCTTAGGTTTAGCGGTGTAAGTCGAAGGCTCAAACAGCAGCGGCGGCGCCTACTAGACTCTATGTTTTTCTGAACCGGCGGCGGCGCTTTAGACTATTATCAAAAATCTTCGTTCGAGGCGGCGGGCGCAGTAAAAGAATGATTCTTTGAATTGTCAATACCTAAGAAATGTTGCAAATCAGAGATGGACAAAATCGCACCGCGCCTCACCGCGCTTCCCCGCGCCACTGCTCGCGCCTAGGCGCTACGCACATCTCTCTTTCTCTTTGCTCTACCAATCAGTTTCTCAAACCCCACCGAATACCAGGATGCTCTAAGCATGCGCTCATCGAAGCTCATACTAGTGTAGCGTAGGCGCGGGGAGGCGCGGTGCGATTTTGTCCATCTCTGTTGCAAATAACTGAACAACTTTGTGAACGGATCAAAACACAAGTCTAGAGACATCTCTACTATGTATTTCTTATACAAAACGAATATTACTATTGAATTTGAACATTTCTTTTTTTTTGCTACAACTCGAATTAATTATGAATAATCACTGATCAAGACTTTGATTCGACATTCATTTCATTAGTCATACAAATGCTAATAGAAATGTCAAGAAGAATGCAACAGTTACACGTTGTCTCATTCTGAGTTATAGTATGTAATTCATAAAACCAATATCATTTATGCCAAACATGAAACGAAGAAATACTCTTCATATTTGTATGATTTTTAAATCTTAAACAACAGGAAGATATGTCATAAAATTAATTAATTCTATCAAAATCAACATATTCATTTACAATAATAAAGAATTGAAAATAATAACTATAGAAAAGAATGACATGTTGATGTGTACAGACATCATTTGTAATCCGTCAGAAAAAAACCCAATTTTTTGTGGCTTGGTTTTTTCCCCATTCTATTGAAATCAACAAAAACATGACCATTTTTTTTTTCTTTACGTTCCTACACGAGCGATATGTCAACATCTCATGAGTCAACTGGAAAAAAAAACAATGAAACATTGCGTCATTTTACTAGCATATAAAATCTATTTCATATGTAGTTTATAACTTAAATGGGACAAATAGTTAATAGACTATGCAATAAATCTGAAAATTCATTAGACAAAATGGATTGTATAGAAATCAAAAATACACCAGTAAGTCAATACAATCTTTTCTTTTACTAATTCTAATGACGGAAATTAATATAGGTGATCACTGACACAAATATGTTCTCATTCGATGATAATTGTAAAAGTAAAAGAAATTTGTTTTGTTTAATTTAACATCTTTAAAAATGAATCTTTCTTTAGTAAGTGAACAAGAGCAATTTTGTGATAGTCTTCCTTGCGAATATACAACAACTTTAACTTCACTTTGTCAAGATTCATTTGATCAAGCTTTAACAAATTCTTTATTTAATTCGATAGATGTATGTCTTTTATTCATCATGAAAACAGAAGATTCTAATGTATATGACTTATTTTCTAGCCTCGACCATTAGCTGTTTACATATATAATGAACAAAGTCCAGCTACAGACATCTTTAATGAACTTGTATTATATTCCGATTCAATCAATACTTATCTTTCTAAACAATTTATTTTATGGAAATGGAATTTAACAAAAGAAAATTATCAAGAGTAAGTTAAAACAAAGAACATAAAAGAAAAAAACCTATTTTTCTTATTTTGTAGATTTTTGACAATAGTTACAACACATGCAGGTGAAGAAGTCGCAGCAGTAATTGATTCATCACCAACTGAAATTTATCCGTTACTTATCTGTCTAGGATTTGATAGAGGTCAAATAAAAGTTGAAAGTATTATTCAAGAAATAATGTCAGAAAGTGAAATATTTGCACTTCTTATTCAAGCTCGAGATGCATTTGATGCTCGATTTGATTTACCAGATACAAGCGGTTTAAGTTTAAGAAATATTTCAACAGAAAATTGGTCAATACCAAAAAGTACTTTAATACAAGTGTCAAAAGAATCAGATGAATTTCGAAGAGTAGGCGCTGATTTCGATGGTGGAATATCATCGATTGTTCGTATTGATCGAATTGAAAATACAATATGGTTAATACAATATCTCAATCAAAAACAAATGATTGATGCACGTCTTGGACATAATGACACAGAAAAATTATTATTTCATGGTTGTCCATATGCAGCTGCTGAACAAATTCTTCAACAAGCATTTGATCATAATCGTATCGGAAGAAATGGTAAAATGAAGTGAAAAATAAATTTAAGTTTCATTTTAATTGATTTTTATTTTTAGGTACTTATTTTGGTCATGGATTTTATTTTTCATCAAATCGACAAGTTAGTGATCGATATGCTGTAGCAAATCCTTCTACAGGTGAAAAAAGAATACTAATGTGTCGTGTACTTATTGGTCGAAGTTGTGAAGGTAATTCAACAATGAGAACATGTCCATCAAATTATGATTCAACAACAGGTGGATCAAATATTTATGTTGTTTATTCTAATCGACATGTCTTACCAGAATATCTTATTACATATAAATAAACATTGTAAATTAATTTAAATATTGTTTTTTAAATTCATGTAATTATTAATTATTGTTCTCTTTCGATACGATTATAGAAGTTTTTTCTATATTACTCTTATTGTTGTATTATACATCATAGACTTTTTCTCTTGACATTATTGAGATTTTTACTTTCTTCTCGTTTATATGTAGAAAAAAAAGTGAAGTTGGATTTTTACTTTGTGGCTACAAAATCGTTTTGAGGATGGATTTAGATGTAAACGGTGGTATGTATCAGAGATGGACAAAATCACACCGCGCCTCCCCGCGCCACTGCTCGCGCCTAGGCACTACGCACATCTCTCTTTCTCTTTGCTCTACCAATCAGTTTCTCAAACTCCACAGAATACCAGGATGCTCTAAGCATGCGCTCATCGAAGCTCATACTAGTGTAGCGTAGGCGTGAGCAACGGCGCGGGGAGGCGCGGTGCGATTTTGTCCATCTCTGGTATGTATCAGTCATACAATATTGTCTATTGGTTACTTTAAACAGAATACATTCTGTTTCATACGAATAATCACTTTCCTAAATGAAAGTTGACTTTTTACTATTATTTTTATTAAGAATGAAACATTTTCTCATTATAATCGTAGTAATTTTTAATTTAATTTTACATATATTTCGAACTTAATAATAAAAAATATTTTTCAAGTATTTCATCACCAATAGCCGATAGTCAAAATCATTATTCACCAGTTTATGTCATAGGTTTTCATTCGATTGACGGCTGAAAGAATAAAGCTTCCCACACGATTCAAATGTGAAACACAATAGAATCGTTTTATATGAATATGAAAAGAAACAAAGATAAGTTTTTTTTTTTGCCTCAAGATTTCAAATCGCGATTAATTAACTCTCAGTCAAATATCTCCATATAATCAACCAATCGACGAAAATGTGCTCGCCGATTAGAAAATACTTGTGATTGAGTCAAACAATGTACATCTAACCATACAATACTGATGTTAGATTGCATATTTTCTTCATTTGTCGATTGTTCATATTTGGATAAGAAAGAATGCTGCAATAGTTCATTAATAAACTTTTTCGTTTTCAAGAATACATACTTACCAAAAAATATGCAAATGCTATACTCATATTAGGACAAATGGTAAGATTTTTATTGAAGTTTGTTTGCATTCACTTCATGCGCAATTTTTTTTTTTTTTGTTCAGATTCTTTGTTCTTTTTGATACGTCAAAATAAAGTTGAAAGTGAGTGTGTGTGTGTGTGTCTTGAATCATTCAATAATTCAAGTATGACTTTCATCTTACACTCTTTACATGAATTGCAATTGTATTATAATAAAAAAAAATTTTATTCAATAATTTATAATTTCATCATTTTTGAATGCTAATCAATCCAACTGAAATTTAACAGTCTTTTTTTGTTCCTATAGATTTGTTAATAACTATAAATACATTGGTCTTAGTATTTACCAGAAAGGGAGGTTTGTAAAAAAAAAAACGGAAGTCTTGATTGTAATGTGACTCAACTATATACACGGTATTTTCTTTTTCTTCGCTTCGTACCTGAACGACAGGTATGATATGCATATATTTATCTTTTCTTCTCTTCTTCATAGTGTATATTATAGGTATTTTTGCATTTCATCATGTTTTTATTCAAGAATTATTAGAATATGTGTTTGTCTAAAGTTTCAGCAAAAACAATCTTTTTTCTTTTTTTGTTTTAGGCAGAAAATATGTTTAATAAAAATAATCGATTCAGTTGAAATTACACATTACAGTACAATATCATTAAGTATTATGTAATTTTACTTGTAAAAAATGATTAATTTGATCATAATCAATACATTTATTTATAATAATAGCAGATTTGTTGGAAAGTGTGACATTTCGATCTGCATAAAAATTTGCAGGAAATCCAACTAAACGATGTAGCTCGGTTTTTTCCAACTGTACAAGCATGACAAATTTGTCCTTTTCGTTCATGCATGAGTAATATATCAGTTGGAAAAAAAAAACTTTTTCCAATATATAAAAGCCTAACTTATTCTAGTGTGTAAAACAAACATGGGACACACTGCGAGTAGACAATTTAGAAAATCGAATAATCGATTACATAAAAAAAAGAATATACAAATTAATAGTAGACAGGTATGTTCATACACTTGTTTTTATTTCAATAATTGAAATTAATATAGGTGAATACCAATGAAAATATTTTCAAATTACATGACAATAGTAAACGTAAGAGAACAAATTTTTACAATGTAGAACATTTTAAAATAATTGATTCTCTATTAAACTAAACAAGAGCCATCTCTTCATCATCTTACTGATCAATTTACATTAGCATCGTCTTCAAACTATCAAAGTTCATTCGAACAAGCTTTAATCGATTCTTTATATAACTCGACGAATGTAAGATGTCTGAAAATAAAAGATTCTAATGTATATGATTTATTTTCTAGCCTCGACCATTAGCTCTTTATATATATGATGAACAAAGTTCAGCTACAGACATCTTTAATGAACTTGTCTTTAATTCTGATTCAATCAATACTTATCTTTCTGAAGAATTTATTTTATGGAAATGGAATTTAACAGAAGGAGATTATCAAGAGTAAATTAAAACAAAGAACATAATTAAAAGAAAAAAAAATCTATTTTTCTTATTTTACAGACTTTTGACAATAGTTACAAAACATGCCAATAAACAAGTAGCAGAAATAATTGATTCGACATCAACTGAAATTTATCCATTGATTATTTGTCTAATATTCGATCATGGTCAAATAAAAATTGAAAGTGTTATTCAAGGAATAATGTCAGATAGTGAAATATTTGCACTTCTTATTCAAACTCGAGATGCATTTGGTGCTCGATTTGATTTACCAAATACAAATGGTTTAAATTTAAGAAATATTTCAACAGAAAATTGGTCAATACCAAAAAGTACTTTAATACAAGTATCAAAAGAATCAAATGAATTTCGAAGAGTAGCTGCTGATTTCCATGATGGAGCATCATCGATTGTTCGTATTGATCGAATTGAAAATTCAACATGGTTAATACAATATCTCAATCAAAAACAAATGATTGATGCACGACTTGGACATGATCACACAGAAAAATTATTATTTCATGGTTGTCCATATGCAGCAGCTAAAAAAATTCTTCAACAAGCATTTGATCATGATCGTATTGGAACACATGGTAAACTAATATTTAGAATAAATTAAAAGTTTTAATTTTTTGTTTTTAAGGCAGTTATTGTGGTCATGGATTTTATTTTTCAACAAATTGGCATGTTAGTGATGGATATGCTAAACCAAATCCTTCTACAGGTGAAAAAAGAATACTAATGTGTCGTGTACTTGTTGGTCGAAGTTGTGAAGGTAATTCAACAATGAAAACATGTCCATTAAACTATGATTCAACAACAGGTGGATTAGATACTTATGTTGTTTATTCTAATCGACATGTTTTACCAGAATATCTTATTACATATAAATAAATTTTTATAAATTGATTAACATAAAATATGTTAAACCTCTTATTAATTCATATAATTGTTAAATATAACCCTCTTTACATTTGGTTATAGACCAGAGATGGACAAAATCGCACCGCGCCTCCCCGCGCTTCGCCGCGCCGTTGCTCACGCCTACGCTACAGTAGTCTGAGCTTCGATGAGCGCATGCTTAGAGCATCCTGGTATTCGGTGGAGTTTGAGAAACTGATTGGTAGAGCAAAGAGAAAGAGAGATGTGCGTAGCGCCTAGGCGCGAGCAGTGGCGCGGGGAAGCTCGGTGAGGCGCGGTGTGATTTTGTCCATCTCTGTTATAGACGATTTGTCATGTTACTCTTATAGTATCATTGATCTTTGTTGAGATTTTTAGTTCCTTTTTACTCTCGACATGTAGAAAAAAAAAGTGAAATTGAGATTGTATTTTAATTCCGCAGAGATTATAATGCAAGTTTTTATTCAGAAGTGTTTAGATCACTACAGTAAGTTAGTATAGAAGTAAATTAGTCCGAATCGAGACGATTAATTCTTTGATTTAAAATAAGCTGCTACTTAAGCACCTAATTCAAAGTTCGTCTTTGATTTTGCTAACTGTCGAAGTTTTGCTTTACATTCATAAGATAGATTACAATATTCCATCCAGAATTTCTTCAATGAATGATTTGATTCAATCATTAAAATTAAAGCATCAACACTAACATCAGTTATCAATTTGTTCGAACGAAGATCTAACCATTCAAGAGTCGTATTATGTTTTGTCAATATATTAGCAAACATTTTCATTCCATGATCACCTATTCGATTGTGATAAAGCCATAGACGTCTTAATGTTCGATTGGTCTTGAGTATTTCAGCAAGATATTCAGCACCTTGATCTGTAATATTATTTTCCGAAAGACTTAATGATATTAGAGTCGAATGATTTAGAATGAGTGATAAATAATGTACTCCAATATCCAATATTTGATTACCATCGAGAAATAATTCTTGTAATGTATTATTATTGCCTATGTTATCTGCTAAAATTCGTGCACCTCGTGATGTGAACATATTATCATATAACCATAGAGACGAACAACGCTTATTAATGATTGCACTTTCAATAACAATATTCATATCTTTATCGGTCAATGCTCGATTGTTCAAATCGATTCTGGTGGATAGTTCACATTTCTTGATGTCCTCTTGAAGTTTCGAATCATGATTGTCAATGCTTGCCATCGTTTCTTTGATCTTTTCGTGTGTTTAATAAAATACTAAAACGAATTATGTGTCAGAGAATATAATCAGTTACTAAGGAAAAGTCAACAGAAACTCTTCACTCAATGTTAGTGAAGACAACGGAAAATTCGTAAGTTCTTTATGTAAAGACTATTTTTCAAAAATAATGATACTTCATAAAGTTTGCTTAAAACAGCGGATGTCACACGTTTCTTACTACTTGTATTTAAGGTAGTCGTATCTTTATAATTGTGTAGTCGAAGAATGTGTTGTTTATGAAGAACAAATCATAGATATTTGTGAGAGGAAAAATTAACACTACGAAAAAAAGAAACGAGTTCTACTCAATTTAATACACTCGATAAATAAACCCATTTGTATAAGTTAAAATGTGCTTTTTTATGGTTACCAAAGAAAAACAAGGTTTATTGAAAAAGAAAGTGCGTCTGACAACGAGCTTGTTAAAACAATAAAAAAATATTTTTTTTATTCTTTTTGTCAACATAAGAAGCCAATTCTTTTTCAATTTTATTTGATTGGAACAGAATAGAAAAAAAAAGATTGTTAGGTTTCGAATATATTTTCTTTATTATGATCGCTGCGTTTCATTTTCTTTTTTTTTTCATTAGTCGAATGACGATTTTAGTCTCAATGTAAAAAAAATAACTGCAGACCTAAAAAAAAAACGATACAAATCATGAGAATCAATCCTTATCGAGTACAAAATGCAAATATATTAAACCTTAAATCTATCTTCAGATATTGAATATCTTTTATCACTATAGGACAATGAACATTAATACATCTCTTATCTATCGTTTTGATGAAAGTGACTTACTCGATATCTTGTTCACTTCCAATACAAAACATAAGGACTTGATTGATCGTCTACTTGGTTGTGCCTATGGGCAAGCATTGGGTGATGCTTATGGTCTATCAACTGAATTTCAGAAGCGTTGTGTAGTAGCGACTATTTATCCAGATGTAACTCAATTGATTCCTTTTCCGAATGATGTTCAAACTCAACATTCTGCTCGATGGATACGTGGTGATTGGACAGATGATACAGATCAATGGTTATTACTCATGGATACTTTAAGTGAATATGATGGTGATGTGAAAACTTTTGCGAGAAAATTAAATATGTGGATTCGACATGGATTTCCTGAATTGGACGATTTTGGAGGTTTAGGATTGGGTGTCAATGTAGCTAAGGTAAATTCGTTTTGTTTTTTTTCTTCTTAGTATTCTAGACGAATAAAATAATACGATTTTTATTATTTAATAGGTTGTTCAAACAGAAGGTTTCTATGAAAATCCATTAGAGGCTAGTCGTAATGCTTGGGAGAGTACTGAAAGAAAAGCAGCACCAAATGGTGCTGTTATGAGATGTTCGGCATGTGCATTCGTTCATTACAATAATATTGAAAAGGTAAATTTAGATTATAATCACTAGATTCTATAGATTTCAACCATTGAATGAAAGGTGTCTTTATCTTTTTCATTTGGCCATTTTTAGGTAAAATCAACGGCTATTCAAATGTGTCAAATTACTCATTTTGATCCACGATGTGTCGCATCGTGTGTAGCAGTATGTCTTGCTATTGCTTACATCATTCAATCTCCTGATGTTGATCTGGAATCACTCATTAGTCGTGTTCAACAAGAAACATTGACTACATTAGGCGATGATCTTTTACCAATCTATCAAGAAGAATTCTTGTGGTATACTAGCCGAGATCGAACCTTAGATGATCTTCGTCTTGATGATGAAAAAGTTATCGGTTATACTTTTAAGTGTTTGGCTGCAGGTTTCTATGGTTTAAGATCAACACGTTCTTTTCAAGAAACACTGAGCGATCTAATTCGACACGGTGGTGATGCCGATACTAATGGAGCTGTATGTGGAACAATGTATGGTGCAAGACATGGTTATAAAGCATTGCCTTATGAATGGCTAAGAGCAATGCCTTATAAAAAATGGTTCGATAACAAAATTCTTACGCTTCTCAAACGCCAGAATTTAATGTAAAGGATTTATTCACATTTCTGAATGATTCATATAAAAATAAAAGTTTGCAGTGTAATTTTCTTCAGAATTAAAATATGACTCATGATGAGTTCATTTAATTGGTAAATGAAAAACCTACATACATCGATTGTATTTCGCAAAAACGTTGAATTCGATTGAGTTTCATGTTTATAAACAACAGTAGATGTTTTGTACAAAAAGTCGATCACAATATTCATCAAGATCATTTCAAGAAGTTTTTCTTCGTTGAAATATTTATTCTAAATTATTGAAAATTTAAATTTTTATTTCTTAAAAATCACATTCTTAACTTTAACTATTATTCTCATCGAGCACATCAAACATATGCATTTTAAAAAGAATCTTATAGAACCCAATAAATATATGGGCATAGTTTGAGTGAAAACATCAGAAAAAGTTCTCTGCTGTTACTTCTGTCTATGATGTTTCAAAACGGAACAGCAACGTATTTTTTTTTGTTTATCAAATTTTTCCGCGTACATACCAAAATAAGTATAATTATTGTATAACCAATATCATTAAGTACAAAAGATGATGCTCCTTCACGTGAAGGAACAGTTTTGATTAACCTATCATAAGAATTTTGATAATAGTTTAGAGCTGATTTATAGTCTCCTTGATAAGTAAATAAATGGTACATCTTCTTCGTTTGAATTTCTTAATAAACGATTAAAATATTGTTGACATTTGTCGTATTCACCAATCTCGACAAGAAGATATCCGAATACGATTACTACACATTCCATGATTCATATATTTTCTATGTTGCTCAATATATTCGTTTGCAATTTTTGATCCTTCATTAACTGCTGTCATTTTTACTAGTATCATATTTGCAGATTGGATCTCTTGTGACGGATTGCAATTGAAAGACTGTATCTAAGTCGAACAAAAATTCTTCTTCATCTCGTTGTTCACTTAAATGAGCGATGCAAGTCACAATAATTGATTTGATCTTGTCAAAATCATATTCAATTTCAAATAGAACATTATCTTTTTCTTCTTCGTTATTTAATGTTAGTTGATAAAAGTTTACCAACATTAGCTTCTAAATTTTGCATTTCTCTACTAGATAATTGAACACCATGATATAATAGAAATATCGAATTATTATCTTCTCGTTGTTGTTGAAATTCTTGTTCAAGTAGCTTGATGATATTCACGATCGAATTGTTCAATATTTTGTCAATTGTTTTTGATTATTTCGATAATATAATCTTAATGTTTCGATTATTTCCTTTTTTTGCTTGTTCGTCATGTGATAAATTTAGCACAACATCTTTGAATATACGTAATCAGAGAAATGTACCAGCTTCTTTTGATAAGTTACAGATAGATTTCTGATTGAGTGTTACAAGAAGTATTTAACAGATCGATATTGGATGTTCGAGTTACTTACAACACTTTCAATAAGAAAATCTTAACATTCTATCGTAAATCAGATTTGTAACCAAATAGGAACTGACATACTGTGTCGACTTATAATTATCTTAGAGTGTTGATCTCTGATTGGATATAATGAATGAATAGATAGCTATGATTCGTATTTATTCTCTATTATATATACTCAATATATTTGACTAGCGTTAAGTATGATCTTAATATTCATAGATAATATTGTGCTTACTATCAAGTTGATCATAAGAAATTTGCTGCATAAATAAGAGGTTGATCAAGAACACATTGTAACGAAATGTATCATCTTCCTATATAAACATATGATCTGTATGTGAACGAAACAATTTGTTGTGGAAGCCAAATGTAACGAATGTCACTATCTCACGAGCACTACTTTTCTTGAGTTTATCATAGACATATATCATTATTTTATAAGTCAATATTACAATTTAAAGAATGGTTAGCACAAAAAAATAACAGTGCATCTGATAATGAAACAAAGAAGAATGACCAACAGTAGTATATGTCAATACGACATGGTTGTGTCTAGAGGCGTAAGCCATACAGCTGAGCTACCGCCACGGAATCGTAGATACTTTTAAGAATTTTTTAGGCGCCACTGCGCCGTCGCTGCGATCGAAAATTTTTGATAATAGTATGAGGTGCCGCCGCTGTTGATATGGATGCATATGTGATCGGACATCTTTTTCGTCTTTTAGGAGCAAAAATGTTTTTTTTTTGGTTGTCGAAGCCACCGCTATGGAAAAAAAATTGACCATTAAAACCGTCGCCACTGTTTGATCCTTCGGCTTACACCTCTAGTTGTGCCTTACAGGATAAGTTATTAGAGTTCGGCCTATATCCATAATTGTCTCTTAGACGATACCCACATATATACATAATTATTGCTGGTTGCTTTGTCTAAAGTGTTCTATCGATACAGCTGAGTTGTTATACTGTCAAATCGTTTGTTCATCTAAATACGTAAGAAAATAGTCATAATTGAGAGAGCAATTAAGTTCCATCATTAAAGTATGATTCTTTCTCTTGAGATATAAGAAAGAAGATATTATTCTTACTCAAGTTTCACAATGAAATTAAATACTAAAGACGATATGATTCGGTACTATTTCACTTAATTAGATGCCATCGAATGGAATAATTTTTTTTTTGTAGAAATACACAAGTAAAGTTAGCACTACATTTAAAATTTTCTTTTTTTCGATTCGTTCTTCAACTTGCATTGAGATTATAAAGAGATTATTTTTGAGTACAGAATTGATTTTCAAAGGGTATAGTCAAGCAAAAAGTCGACGTAATTTGCAAATACTATTTTTCAATATGATTTTTGTAATATTTTCTGTTCGGATTTACTCTATGATTTGTGTTTGTTATTACAGAATTATTTGATGAATAGAATAGTTTTAGATAATCTCTAAAAATTGGATTCTAACTCTTCATACTGTATTTTTTTGAATATCATCGTTGAGACTTTTGGTTTAATTTCTTTTAGTCTTTCTCTTCGCTCCGGTCATCCTTTCATGTAGAGTCCTGCAACGGGGTCGGGTACCCGGCACCCGACCGGACCCGAAACTGTGGTCCGGGTACAAATTTGCCGGGTCGGTTCGGGTGCCGGGTATAAAAAAAAATGCCGGGTCGGGTGCAGGATTTGAGCATACCCGGTACCCGACCGGTAGTCGATAACATCTTAACAAGTAAAAGTATTTTACACTCTAGGATAGAGTCCTGCAACGGGGCCGGATACCCGGCACCCGATCGGACCCGGAACTGTGGTCCGGGTACAAATTGTTACTTGATGAAATTAAAATAATAGTATATTTTGCCATATGAAATAAAAGTTTGAAAAGTGAATATAATTTTGACAATAACAATCAAGTGCTGACTATTTCAAGGCTGGGCCGGGTCCGGTCGGGTACCGGGTAGAGCTATCCGGGTCCGGTTCGGTTCCGGGTGGAAGATGACCGGGTCCGGTCGGATTCCGCGTTTGAAAAAAATGAGCCGGGCCGGGTCCGGGTGCGAAAAGTAGTACCCGTGCAGGACTCTACTTTCATGTGAGTTTATCAACAGTTTGATTTAATTACTTGAAATTTCAATTAATACATATTTAGAGTTTATTACTAAATTGAAACTAAAATGTAATCTTCATTATTTCTAAACGAGCGAACTATTCTATTACTCATTGTCTTCAAGACATAACATGACTAATAAACATGTTATTTACTATTGTAGGCCTCAAAAAAAAATCGAAAACTTGTTTGAAATCTACTGATGTAGAACAAAAGAAATGATAATTTTTGTAAAAATATAATGTTTCAAATTATATCGTTTTCGAACTATTGTAATGTTGATAATATATGACTTTTTTTTCAGAAGTTTTTTCTTATGAGTTTTGCAAAGAACTTAACAGCATATCTTCTGAAAGAAGAATTATTTCTATTCATCGAAAGAAGTTTCTTCTTTCTATGTTATTCAATATAAAATGAGAAAAATGATTTTTTTTTTCTAACTTTTTGAGAATTTACTGAGTTTATTATACTAGAATATTTTCGAATAGATAACAAAAATAAATAAATCAATGTTGTTAACTACAATTATTTGTGTGTCATTGAAACTATGTCGAGAATAATAAAAAAAAAAAAAAACGAATGTTATGTTTCATATGTGTAGGGTGAGTTGCTTGGACATAAAATTGTTTCATAAAATACTCTACTTATCATTTCATAGCAACATGCATTTTTATTTTGTCATATACTTCAATCTTGATGTCATTTTCTTTTGAATATTCACTTTGTTTTATGATGGAGCCTTATGATTTCATTTTGAAAAGCAGAGAAAGAAGAAAAAAAAAAAAAGCAACTGACTTAAAAGACATTTTATTCTTTTCTGCATTTTCATTTCAGTTGTAAAATTCTTTCACTTTAATATCCCTATTACATATATAATTCAAAAACAAAAATGGTTAGTCATTTGTTATTGATTATTATTGCCATCTTCATTCCACCATTAGCTGTTTATCTACATGAGAACGCCTGCAACAACAAAGTTCTTCTTAATATAATTCTGACTATTATTGGTTTTATACCTGGTCTTATACATGCCTTATTCGTTATTCTATAAATACAGAGACCAATCAATAAGCAATGCAAAAAAAAAAAAGAAGAAGAACTGTATTTCTCCATTATCATTCATAGCCTTTTAGTTCATGACACTATGTATTTAGTATTCTATATAATGAATACTTCATGACTATGCTATCCATTCGTTTTCTTTTGTTTATTTAATAAAATAATAATAAAAAAAATACAGTTGATTTTTACAAGAAACTTGCTAATATACCAAGAGAAATTCTTGTATGAATTCGATTTACATCAGAGATGTCTATATCGGCTGAGAATCTGCCACCGCGATAGACATATCTCTGACTTACATTAGAGAAAACATGCACATTATATCATATGAAGCAGAGATGTCCATGGCGGCGCGGCAGCGGTAAGTTTCTTAAAAACTCATCGCGGCAGCGGCAGAATTTTTAAAAGCTCATCGCGGCAGCGGCAGCATTTTTTTTTCGAGGACATTGAAAAACTGAATGAATTTAATAGAATTTCATTGTTTACAAATGAAACACCCCGAGACTGAATGAATCTGATGGACTAGTACCAATATTTCTGGTCCAAGACAGTTGCAGCAGTAAAAATCGAAACACTTTTTTGAAAATCATCGCGGCAACGGCAAGTTTATTACTCATCGCGGCGCGGTGACTTTTTTTTATAAACCATCGCGGCGCGGCAGCGGCAGAGTTTCAGCCGCGATGGACATCTCTGATATGAAGACGAGATCATACTATAATTCTGTTCTGAATTTAATCACATGTTGTTTATACGAAGATATTAGCTTCATTATAATTACTAACGTCTATCTATACTTCATATTGTGAATCAAAATGAACATAACTTAGATAATCGAGCCTGAGAGTCTATGTGATTCATTATTGGGTGTGAATGTGAGTATTCTCTTCTAGTTTAGCGAAATTCCTCATAATGAAGAAGTTCTATTTGAATTTAGAATAACTTTTATTTTTAAAAAAAAATGAACATTAATATAAAACGCCTGTAAACGTAATTTTAGTATAAATTATTGATTGCTAGTACTCATTTTTCCTTCATGAGAATCCAAAATTTATTCACTTATTAAATAAAAAACTGATTTACATTAATTAAAGAAATAATATAGATCAATTTATTAGTATATTAGTGAATTATTATTTTCAATACGAATTAGACGAAGGTAAATTTTCTCTTCGTTTGTCGATCGATGAATGACGAAAATCTAAATGTTCGATCAATCTATTGAATGAAAATGATATTTGATATATGTTCGTGATCACTTTATTTGCAGAATATAATCTTTACATATTCAACATGATATAGACAATGTTAGTTTTTATTTTTTTTGTGTTGTAATTGAATATGATTGTTGAAATTATCGGTTTTTTTGTATCGTTATTATCAATCGATACTTTACATAAGTACAAAGATGATGATGTTAAATTCATTCCATTCAAGTAATCAATAAAAGAAATCAAATACTTTTTCTAGTCAATTTATTAAAGAAAACAATACATATTTTTCACATTGATGATTTGTTCGAATAATATTAAATGAATACAATTATCTATTCACTTAATAATTACATTTATAGTTAAATTATCAATTGATTGAAAGTAAATTTTTGAGTAGATAATGTACAAAAGAATATTTAATAAATCGAAAGAATGATAAATTTTATTGTATGTTATCATTGTACCATTGACAAAGTCAATTGAGTCCAAATAGTCGAAAGTAATATTTCAGCTGTTCTAACATAATTTTTAGTTGATTCATTCAATGGTATTAGAATAATATGTTTATGCCAATCGGCCTGAGAATCTCTTGATTGATAATCAAGTATTGCTTCTCGAAAGATTCGAGCTTGTTCAACTGGATCAAAACATCCAAAATTAAAATGTGAAAGAATAGATTGATATCGATTTTGTAGACCACGAAGAGCAGCTGGTAGTTCCATAGGAAAATAGATAGTCTAACGAAAACAAAAACACTTATTCATTAACATTTAAAACATCTATTTTACTTTGCCATCGACTAAACGTGTCAATTGATAAATTACTAAAGAACTATACGAACGTTGAAAAACACCACCGACAGTTATCGTCAATGGTAGATGAGAAAAATTTGTATTACTTTTATAAGAAAAATAAATTAATACAATTTTATTATAGTTTTCAATACTACATACATTGGTTTCCATTCGATTAATTTAAATCCAATAATTCGTTGTTCTTCCTCTGATAATTTAACAATATTAGAAATCAATTGTGTAGAATCTTCGATTGTCCATGGAAGAATAAAAACCCATTTACGAATAAAAATCATTGTATTCTTCTCTAGTCCATCAGTATTACATTCCTTATTCAATTCCATTTCAATAAAATTCAATCGATATTGATGATCTGCAAAAAAAAAAGAAAAAACAATTCAAATCATTTTCATAAATCATCATACCATTTGTTGAAGTAATCATTTTGATATAATTAAAATAAAATGCTGCAGCACAACCTAATCCAACACTTGTACATTGCTAGATTAAAAAAAAAGGAATAAATTCTAAAGTTGATGAATGAAAAACAAAAACAAATATCTACGGCAGAATATTCTTGATTAAATTCAATTCGATTTTCAGATGAATTAGTATAATCTTTCGAGAGTACATTCATTTTATTAAGATAATAGATTACTTCATGAATTTCATTATTATTCCATTGTGGTGCTCGACGATGAAGATCTACTGTTAGATATGGTATTGAACGAATAAATTTACATGGAAAATATTCAATAGCTTCATTAATAAGAATAAAAACATCACGCATAGTATCACGCTAAAAATCGAAATAAATAATGTTTGTTTATGTTTTGATTTAAATCAAAATAATTATTTTACTTTTATGATATTATGTTGTGCAATACGCATCATTTGACGATTATCTTCATCATTTTGTTGACCCGTACAAATAAAAATACTCTGTTCAATTTCCCAATGATTGTTAGCCAAATCAACGATATAACCTTGTTGTCTTAATTTCTCTTTTAAATCTCTACAAAAAATAAAATAAAAACATTTTGAAATTCTTTTAATAAACACTAATAAATTTTGCAAAATCTACGTAATTAAAGTTCTAATTGATTGATCTTCTTGTGCTCTTTCAGTAAAAAACAAAGCTATACGTTTACTCTGTTCATTTGGAATTATTTTTGTATTGACCTAAAAGAGTAAGAAAATAAAAGCGAAATTCTGGTATTAAAAAAAAAACCAATTTTTCTCTCAGAGATGTCCATCGCGGCTCAAAATCTGCCGCTGCCGCGCCGCGGCCAAAATCAAACAAAGCTGCCGCGCCGCTCCCGCGACGCGATGGCCTGTTAAAAAAAGCTACCGCACCGCTGCCGCGCTGGTATTCGAAAAAATGTTTTGATTTTCAAGGCTTTGACTAGTTTGAAATAGAACTGATGCCGCTAATCGATCAGATTCGCTAAGTCTTACAGTATAGCATACATAAACATGCAAATTCAGTGCAAATTCATGAATTTTTGAAATTTTTTCCTAAAAAGCTGCCGCCGCCGCGCCGCTGCCGCGACGGCAAAATAAAAATCTCTCCCGCGCCGCCACCGCCACGGCGGCAGCAGTAGCGGCGCGATGGACATCTCTGTTTTCTCTTACATCGAGAGCTGCTACAGTTGTCGGTGATGGCTGATAGTATTCATCGATATCTTCCTTAATTTGTAACCAAAATGGTTTAATATCAGCATCTAAAAAAAATTATTTTTCTTGACTTCAACAAAAAAAAACAAACACTACAACCTATGGCGTTTGATGTATAGTCATTCGATTGTTCTCTAGATCGATATTGTTCATCATCGAATTGAATCAATCGAATCGATTCAGGCCATGGATCGAGATCGATCAATCGTTGAAGAATATTACAAAAACGCATATATTCATCGCGTTTTTGTGCTCGATTAATTTGACCTATTTGATAAATTTGATCAAGAATTGACATAATATCTGGATATTCTGCACAAAAGAGATACTAAACGATGATATAAAAATTTATCTTATTTGTTATTGTTAATCGAAATGTTTTTTTTACTCGAATGATTTCTTGATTCTCATCTAGTACATCTATATAGTAAAATGTTCGACGTAAACATCGATTATAATGTATCATATCAGGTGATTGAAGGACTTTACTAAGTATCGAAAGAAAAATGAAATGAACGAACAAGAAAAAATTTGATTATATGTTACTTATGAGCATAAGCCAAATGTATTCGATCGGGTTCGATTGGATCTCGAATTGTACCTTCTAAGAAAATTCCTTGATTTTCCTGACAACCATTAGTATCGGGTCGTCCACAATCACATGAAGATTTTGCAAGTAAATAATAGACCGGTGCACTGCGAATTTCTTTAATTGGCTGTTGGTTAATATTCCAATGATTAGTTTGATCAGTTATGTATTTATCATATGAATCTTTGCTGGTTTTCTTCATTGTACTTACGCCTAAAATCAATACGATGAAATTGAAATTTCAAGTGAAAAACATTACTTACCTCCACATCGATCCGATATGGTTGGTGCATCAATCATAGAAAAGACAAAACATTTTCTAGTCGGATTTATTCGAATACGAAAAGTAGCCAATGGTAATTCATTGAATTCGTCATTATCATCATTTGATGAGCACGATTCATATTCAATATTCCATTTTCGTACATCATCTCTAAGTCGAATTGACATGAGCGTATCGAGATTTAAATTTTCTTGCCAAATATAAACTTTTTCTACTGTATGACCAAAATCACTTATACCACGAACGCAAAATGTTACATGTGTTCGTGAATTATCAATAATCTTATAACTGTCCGGATCTAAACTCAATTGAAAAGGATTTGACTGCATTGGAACAAGATGATTGGCCGGCATACTGGATGGACTCTTGTTGAGAAAGACACTTTCGATCAATGTATGTAAGACAATAAGAATTGTTTGTGGAAGATTTTCTTTTGGAATGATAGCATTAAAAGTGAAATCAAGAAAGAGACTATTTGCTAGAAATTCAAAAACTATCAAATTAAATTTTAAAAGATTTCTTTTTCTATTTACTAGAACCAACTTGACAATTGAGATAAGAATAATAATAATTGAATACTAAACCACTACTAATACTGTTAACATGTAGAAGTAGAGGATAGAAAGGTAATGATGAATTTTGAGAATTTATCAATCGTTCAATAAATGTACCAAAGTTCCATTCGAATTTTACAGAATTATTTTGTATAATTTCACTGGATTGATCACCATAAAAATCATAGATAGTCATATTATTGAGTTCTTCAACAGATGTATTATATAAACGAAATAGAAAACTTTCAAAATATCGATGTCTTAATCGAATTTCTTGTTCTCGTAAGAGATTATTATCTAAACAGATGAATATCATTGGAAGTTCATTCTAAAATAATGATATTTCATCATTTTCAAAAAAAAGAATATTAATCAAAAAAACTAACACTTTCAGAAAAATTTTCATTGAATTGAATAACATCATCGATAATATCACTCCAAATAATTTCCAAAATATAAGTAAATTCTACAAGAATAGATGATCGATTGTTTACAAATGAAAAATTGTATTACTTACGTTGATTTCGTTCTCGCCAATGTGTAGCATTAGTCAATATCATTTTAGTTAATTGATCACGAAAATTTCTAAATAAATTGATAAAAAAAGAAAACTAGATCTTATCGAACAGCGGATCAATACAACCTGCATTGAGCTTTAATAAGATTTGATGCTCGTGAATGTATCAATGGAAAATCAATTAAACGAATATTTACATTATTTCCGATAATATTAGACAAACCATAGGTGATTATATCGTCTCTATTTAACATTCTCAATCTACAAAGAAACTTTACATAAGACCAGTGGCGTACGCAGAAATTTTTCAAGGGGGGGGGGGCCGGCCATGGCACAAAAAATTTTTTATCACGTGAAAATATTTTTTCCTGTACCCCCCTCCAGGACTTTTTCGTCTCAAGGGGGAGCCCGGGCCCCCTGCGTACGCCCTGCATAAGACTAAAAAAAACGTTTTATTTTAGAAATTGTTTTTTTAACTTTTTCTTAAGTATATATTTTATTGACAAAACATGTTTCTCATAGTGGTAGAGAAAGGAAACAACCAACTTTCTATGCTTCGTTTTTTTTTTCTTTCAAGATAAAAGTACTTATAATTATGATTCATTCAAGGTTGAGTATTACTAAAAATAATAATTCTTATCAATAGAACATATTTATTTTGATTCTATTTCAATAGTTTTTCAACTGATTATCAAATTACACTCAATATTTCTTTTATTTTTTTTTTGCGAATAATGCAGATATATTTTCAAGAATTTCACAACTGATGAATTTTTTTCAATTCACAATTTACATGTTTTCAATTCATATATAACGAAAAATTGAGAACTATTTGCATATCATATGATTTATATGAGAGAAATTTAGTAGTGAATATAAGTGTACCTTAATAGTAACTACGATACTCTTCAAAAGGATGACCTCTCAAAGAAAGTAACATTAGTGCAAATTTTTTTTCTACCGTCAACACGAGACAGAAAGAAAAAACCAGAATGCTAATCAATAGTGTCAATACTGTGAATAATGAGTCAAACAGAGGTATAGAGTAGCGCCTAAAGCATCCTTCATCATTAATTGTATAGCATTATACTTGCTGATATTCACATAGAGTAATGTAGGCGTACATCTTACAAAATATGATTTTGAATACTTATTAAAATCGAATGATAAATAAACAAGAAACTTTTTCAATTTTGATTTTCTCTCGAATTTTATATTTTTTTCAGATTAAAGAGATATTTATATATTGTGGATGTAATATAAATTCTAATCAGAGATGAGCATAGGACAAAATTTTCTGTCCTGTCCTGTTAGCTATTGTGGTAGGACATCAGGACCATCCTGTCCTGTATTCATCTCTTGTTTCAATATAGAATGACGGAAGTGACTCATGTTGGAAATATTAAATGTAATTGTTATCGAATACATGTCATAGAATGAATAAGACTATTGTAATTTATCGATATTCCAATGGCAGTACGTCAAAGTATTGCAATCGTGCTTCACTTTTGCTCTACTCTTTTTTTTCTTCGTATTTACAACTACTTACAGATTTGTCCATAGTCGACTTAAAATACAATTGATGGAAATTTTTTTATCTAAATAATCGTTTGCTTATTTGTATCGTACGATTGACTCAATAAAAAATAAACTGATGTTCTACACCCGTGGGAAAAAAAACCAACTGAGATTATTGCATAACTGCATTCTTCTTTTTTTTTTTTTATTTCTCGATAAAATAGACATTGGTGTATAACATTGATATGTGTATAAGAGTAAAATGTACAAAAGCACAAAACTCAAAACGTCAAGAAATATTAAGAAACTTTCTTTCTTTCTAACATACCTGATTTTTATTATCATGAATGAGTTAAAAATTCTATTAAATAAGCAAAAATTTACCCCTAAAAACAGTATTCGTTTTTTTATAAATAAAGATGAAATACTTACGGATTGAAATCGATTGACATGAAAATGTAAACACTATCTTTTTTATGTTCGAAGCGTCATCTCCCTACTAGTATTGATATAGAAAATGATTTCAGTCTTCCATCCTATTAAATCTTTTTTATTTTTGTATAAGTTACTATTCTAATACGTATTTTTGAAATGGACTCGGAAAAAAGATATATTTGAGCTCGATGTGTTTAATTGGCTTTAAAATGAGAGAAATGAGCTCGATTGTAATAAAATTATATTTTTTTATATAAATGAAAGTTTTGAGCTCGGAAATTAATTAATGGGTGTGGGTGTTGGTTCGGATGTGATGGTAGATCAGAAGAACATCCACACTCACACCCTCTTACAAACAGCTGTACGACTGGTCATTAGCTAGTATCAGTACACCATTTGCGATTCAAATCGAATTTAATAATGATTTAGTAGCTATGGCATATAAATGGTTACAAAAACTTGATCGAACAAAAGTGTTACATTTAGGCGCAACTAGTTACGTTGTACCTTCTTCTGAACCAAAAGTGGATACAACATTACCATAGTATATCTTGGAATTCTTACGATGAATTTATCGACTGGTTAAATTCTGTGCGTTTACTTGATTTTTCTCGTTTAACTCCACTATTATTTTGTTCATGTAAATATGGCCTCAAAGAATATTCTTGCATTCATTCTTTGGGTTTATTAATGATGTGGGGTCATCGTAAAATTCCACAACAACTTGGGATAAAAAGGAGAGAAGGTCGTCCAAAGAAAGTTAAATTAGCTTTAACAAACGACTGAATATTAGTAAAAATCTATTGTAACCTAGCACTTTTTTTGTAAAACACGATCTGAAAGAAGTGTTGAAGTGTTTAGGGGTAGAAATTTGGACCCCCCACAGACTGTGACAGACAGGCTTTGAACCCATCACAGACTGTGACAGAGAAACTGAAGTTCTAAAGCATCAGATAAACGGTTAGCTATAAATGTATTGCAAAGAAATGGAACAAAACGATTTCCATTTAATTAGTAACAACAGATCCATCGTGTTTCACATTTTTAATCCCGCAAGGGATTCCGCTAACAACTTTTGTTCTTGAACTACTTTTTTTCTTATTAAGAGAGAGTCCACGAGCAGACCGCCAACATGGGCCTTTGACAAATTTTGAAAGTGCAATATTTTGGCATAAAATGAAAGATCATTTTATGCCAAAATATCGCACTTTTAAAATTTGTCAAATGCCTGGGTTGCTCATATTGGGTGATATTCTCATGGATCCTCTCTTAAATATACTTTGCCACTGACAAAATCATTAATTAATTTTCATAAATTACTTACAGAGCTCATTTCTTTCTCTTTAACGACAAAAATAAAATTTACCGAGCTCATTTATATCTTTTCAGAGTATAAATTAATTTCCGAGTTCAAAACTTTTATTTACATAAAAAAATATAATTTTATTACAACCGAGCTCATTTCTCTCATTTTGAAGCCAATTAAACACACCGAGCTCAAATCTCTCTTTTTCCGAGCTCATTTATTATTTTATCCTTTTGAAATAATTAGCTTGTCTTAATGAGCATACCAATTGACGATAATTGTCACGTGTTTGTTGGTCACGAAAAAGTATGAAAGGTGGACATGCAATAACTTGATGCTACTAAGAACGGTATCTTTTCTCTTATGGAGTAGTGTCACATATCCAAGATTTTGGAGATGCCACCACATCTCCCGTGGGAGATGCCGCGTCTCCAGCGGGAGACGCGACACCAACACTTGAGAGATGTGGTCATTCACCACTGGAGATGTAAGATCTCCTTTAGAGATGCGCATCCCCCACACCCACACCCACATCTCTCGCGCGAGATGCGGCATCTCCCGCGAGAGACGTGGTGGCATCTCCAAAATCTTGGATATGTGACACTGCTGAGTATCTAGAGTGAGCATGAAGATGTAAATACTGGATGAGTAGAACATCTATTTCATGTAAAAATGCTATAATATCATTTTGAAGTCGACTAAAATCGTACCATTATTATCTGAAAAAATTTGACACCCTTATTATTCTTTTGCTTCACTGGTTTGAAGCTTTTTGTCTAATGCTTCTAATTTGTCATTATAACTTAACCAAATTCAATCGATATTTAATGAAAAATAATCAGTTTTCATTGAACTTCATTACTTTTATAAGAGAGAACACATAGTCGAACGAACGATTACACTTTAATTTACTTATATCTTAATTCATTTGGTTTAAAAATCCCTACCCAAATGAATTTGTGTTAACTTCTTGTACGAGTTCGTGATAAACAAATGAATTTAGAATATCGTATTCATTCTGATGCAAGTGATGTTCATACAGATCGCCACCTATCGCTAACTTTCTTTGATGTATATTTTCATATTGATAATTTATGGACTGCGGACTGCATTTTGGTTCACGTGAATTTTGGCTCACTTCCTATGACCCGACCTTTTACTATAGGGACTGCTCAATCGACTTTTTCAAATTTCGCCTTTAAATACATATTTTAAAAGTCTACCAACTAGTGAGTTTTTTTGCCACTAAGTGCAGTCAGATAGCGTTAACTGGCACTGAGAAATTCAATTTTTAATTTTAGGTCCGTCTCCTTCAGATGAAGATGCTGATCTACCCCCTATCGATTATGAAGTCTGCCGTTTTCGATTGAGGTGACATGGAAGGATAAAAATTTCAGGATAGATACAAATTAAAACCACTCCGAGCTTGAGATGTTGCTTGATAGCTGAGTCATAGGTGTCGCTAGTAGTTGAGCTTGAGCAATCGATAACTATTGCGTAACTAAGCCAAAAAATCTGAAACTTATAAACTATATACTAGGTCGATGAAAGTATATAAAGATGAAAAGAAAACTCTGGGTAATGAGACACAGTTTGAGATATGAATTTTTTACGAAAATTCACTGCATTTTTGACTAGTGTTTGCATATTTTCGCCCAATTTTTGAGACAAAAGTTGAACATGGACATCCTATTCAGAATCAGCATGAAAAAATCAGTCTGGCCATGTATATTTCATAGAAAAAAAAATTTATCAAAAAACTCACCTGAGGGGGACCACAGCCGAAAATTTCATAAAAAGCACCTGAGGAGGAAGGAGTACGGGTAATTTTTTGATAAATTTTTTTTCTATGAAATATACATGGCCAGACTGATTTTTTCATGCTGATTCTGAATATGATGTCCATTTTCAGCTTTTATCTCAAAAATTGGGCGAAAATATGCAAACACTAGTCAAAAATGCAGTGAATTTTCGTAAAAAATTCATATCTCAAAC